AAAGGCCAAGGAAAAAGAACTCGTGGCCCTTCAACCCATGTTGAAGGGCCACGAGTCCGGAGGAGATCAGGGACTTTGCACCATCAGGCACCGCCTGTAACAGTTATGTTCACCCAAACTCGGTACAAAAATGACATCTTTGTGTTCCCTCGCGATCTCGTCCAGCTTCAGATCAACAAGAGCAAGTACGTTGTGAGAGTCTACGCCTCCTTCAGCAGCACCAATCCCTACCTCGTGTCCCTCCCAAAAGGAGTAGAGTCTGAACAGCTCTCAAATAGGCATACATGGGAAAGTTTCCAATACTCCAATACAAGTAATCTCCTATTGGCCTTCCATCCTTCGAAATGCTTTCTCAAAACTATTGTCACACAACCTATGTGCAAAAGAAAACCGTCCACACAAAAGACTACTAAAAAATTACAGCTTGAGCTCTCAACGACTTACAACTCAGCTGGCGACTCTCTTGACTTATGCCTTGAGCATAACATCAGAACATCTACATAATCGTGGGATTTTTCACTATGGAGAAAAAAGCTATCTATTGAAAAAACTAAACAAGCCTACTACTATGATTCCTATCTAAAAAATAGCCACCTCACAAGAATACTAGTTCAAAAAAGTCGTCATCTTCCCGATCATATTCACAAGGAGATCAATCTTATCATAGTAGCGGAAGTTGCTTGTGAATGAGTGTAGAGTTAACTTGTGTGATTATTGCTCCAAAATCGCTGCTAGCGCGCCTCTAGCGTAGAGCGGGAGACTTAAGGCCCACTCCAAAAGGATGAATGGAATCTCGGAACTCGAGTGAAGCAGACAAATCTCGGAAGCATGGCGACTACTCCTTATTCATCTCATCAAACTGAGCGCCTTTTGCACTAGATCCTCACTCCCACTAGCACCAACAATAACTCCTCCGCTACCAATCCCGTTTTGTATTTCGAATATACTTTGAAGAATACCAAGCCAAAGAAGTCTAACTCACTGTAACGACCCTAAATTCTCGTGGTGTAGATTTCTTCTGGTTCCGAGTATCAAAAAAATATTTCACCCAAGAATTTCACATTAGATACCACCCTAATTCAAACAATTAACTTCTTGCTACACTAAGAACACTTAAGGATCTTACTTCTAAACTATGGAGCTTTGAATACTTTTTACTCTTTCTAACCACTCATCTAACGTCTAATTTAAAGATTTTGTCATTACCTAAAATCAAAATGCGGTCACATAATTGAACTCACGTGATAGAATTCTCCCCTTAAAGACCATTGAATGCTTCTCTCAAGATCTTCTCTCATAAGTTCTCTCAAGATCAGGCCAGAAGCGTTACACTAGTCGATAGATTTCTCCAAATCAGAACAGTTCAAGGACATGGAGGAGATCACCGGGTTCCAGGTTAGGCAGGCACAAAATACCTTTGCTCCTCATCTGCATCCCGAGGTAAGATGGAGATGCTTGAAGAAATGAGCTGGCCTTCTGTTGCATCAGGTGACTGCAGCAGCTCATTCGTGTGATTACTGATGATACTAAAAGAAACAGAAGAATCGAATCAGCTCGAGTCAACGAGGTAACACTCATAGCCTGGATCAGTTCCAGAATTCTCGTCAATACTGAAGTGCCGTTTATTTCCTCCAAGGAATCCAGGAGTCTGATCACTCTGGGACTTTTCCAAGTAAAATACCTCGTGCTGTAGGGCGGCATCAGATGTATAGGGAGCTAACTCCGCGACCTGCCATCACCTGCTATCACCTTCGTGCAGTGATAGCACGACGCGGTGATGTACGTGCACCAGTTGAAAGTCGGCCGCGCGGAGTCATATTCGCCAGTACCTTCGAACGCCGTGAAATGCATGTGAGTGAAATTTAATATGCTAGGAATCCTAGGGTGCACTAGATGTATTACAATAATGAATAAATCGCGAGATACTGTGATTTCAATTTCTGCTTTCTGATCCACTCCCTAACTACTTGCAGTAGAAATTCTGAATTTGAAATACTTCACCACAAATTCGTCTGGGATAAGATGGAGTGGGAAAGTGCTGTGCTTTGTGGACGGCAGTGATGGAAGTAATTATGCAACATATAATAACTCAGTGCAAAACACCCAGAACGTCCCAAGTACCTGTAGACAAGAAATCAGACGGGGCGAAAAGTGGTCACCCCAGACCTCAGAAGCAGGAATCGTTAGTGAAGCTGTCGGCTGAAATTTATATGCATGCAACAGAACCCGAACGCTTCAGAGCATAATCAACGGGGAAAACTTAGCTCTTGCAGTGATGAAATCTCTGCATTGCGTTAAATCTACCCCGTCTTCCATATTTATTCAGCTCAGGTTTTGATCTTCTTCGGGTTCTGTCCTCGATGTGTTAAGAGAGTGGCTTGCTCGTATGGATCTCCAGCGTTCTCGTGCCAGATGCTCTACAACAAATTAAGTGGAACTTTCGCACACTTGAAGCAGTTTGCCCTTATGAAGCACAAAGAATCTCTCTGTGCTTGATGTTGGACTTCACTGCACGATGCCAGAAACAAGTGTTTCTGGCATCGTGAAACTTGTTTAAAACGTTTCAGCAGTTCTCCTTCAACTGGTCAGGGAGTTTAGTATTCCTATACTGCCCAGTTCCAAGACCTATGTTGACATGACAAGTTCAGCCGCAACTAGATCACTTATAGAGGCTAGGCATTGGAATAGACAGCTCGGCAGCGAAAACGGTGTCGTACGCCGCGGACTGCTCGCTTTGTTGCTTTAAGGAGAAATCTGCTGGAGTCGTCGGTCTCATACAAAACCGGTAATGGAAAAGTCGAGATTGATCGATTGAGACGGTATTGACCCATCGATCAACTTGGATGGTTGCAGGCCAGGTTTACACATTCAATGAAAGGGCTGCCACTCCGGCAGTCATTCAATTCGAAGGCGACAAGTTGCACGTTGTCCATATGCAAACCAATCGCGTTTTGGTCGACAACCTGAACCGTATGCCCAGAGATAAGGCGAAAACAAATGCCTCCCCGCTCATCTGAGTTATGATACTAAAGTCCAGGATGCGAATCCTTTTCTGCTTGATGCAAGCTATGGCAAGCGCGAAGAATCTGATATTGGCACATTGGTATGTCACAAAAGGTGATCATCGTTCAGAGTAAAACGTTTCGTCCGATCATCTCTATCAGCACTCATAAGAGTGATCGAATTGACCAAGACCATTTGCAGAGTTCAAAAATCAGACTGCAGCTCGTCCTATGTAATGTGGCGAGAGTACAAATAAAGCGGTTTTGGGTTTATGACCGGAAAGCATTGAGGTTTGCGCTTCGGCTTGTGCATTATATTGCTAAATGACTGACTGTGTAATCATCTGAAGCTATTTTTGAAAATCTTGACCATTCTGAATATTTATCAATTCTGTCAGAAAGACCTGCACGAATTTTGCCTCCAGAACTCGTTGTGTATTGTAATCCAGTATTTGTCAGTCGAAGAAGTGTGCCATAAAATGTCTGGGTATTAAACAATGTTCAAAGCTTTCCTGGTGCTGAATATGTCACATCCGATGGTCCACATTCTGTAGAATAGAGCGAAAAGACAGGAGACTTGAGACAGAGTCGAAAAATTTCTCTGAGCCATAGCTCCCTTCAACTGGTCAGGGAGTTTAGTATTCCTATACTGCCCAGTTCCAAGACCTATGTTGACATGACAAGTTCAGCCGCAACTAGATCACTTATAGAGGCTAGGCATTGGAATAGACAGCTCGGCAGCGAAAACGGTGTCGTACGCCGCGGACTGCTCGCTTTGTACGATACTTGACAAATGTCATCCCAAACTGACCAGGCGTCAAGCTATACGAGGGGATCATAAAATGTTTCTAACAGTGAACTACGTCAGTATCATTATGACGTATAGAGCCCCAAAAGATACGAAGTCTGTAATCTTTAACATCACGACGTTTCGACATCTCGTGGATCGAGTACTAGATACGGGCGAGGTCCCCAGGCATTATGTCTATCTTTTGAAGGGATGCCCCGTCCCGGCTAGTTCGTATTTACAATGCACAAGCCTTGCATTGCGGTGAAAACATAGAGCGATAGAGTGTGATTTTGGTCTTTCAGTGTTTCATGGTAAATGCAAACACAATTCGACGGTGAGTGCCATCCAGGTGGACAGCTGAAATGGTCTACCAGCCCCAGAAACTACTCAAATGTGAGTCTGTTCTTCTAAGTGAACAAAACGAGGTCATGCAATATATGAAGCCTCCAATTGAGTCGACTAAGTGAGCGACTGGCTTTATATCTTGGTTCTAATTACAAGGTAGTCATTGAATGCTGCGAACAGACAGGAAATCCATAGCTGAGAATTTCATTCGGACCCTTATTCTAAACGAATAGCATCAAAGGATTGATTCCATAAAGGTGGTAGGCAATTGCTTGAGTTGCTTGGAAGTTCCTGTTTTGTAAACATATGACGATGAACACTCTGCGATGCCTTAACTGAAACCCCACGCAATCACATCGAGCTACTTCTGCTGTCTGGTTTTCTTTCAGATCGTGAATGGAAAGTACCATTCCTTATTTCCAGTTTCCAAAGTTACCCGTGCAAGATTTCCTGGTGGAAAAGGTGGACTCTATTTCCGGACGATACAGGTCTAAATACATGATAGAGGCAGGGTGCGACGAAAGTACACTCCTGCATTTTAAGAACAACATTCATCACCAAAGTCGCAAATGTTAATCTGCTAGGACTATGCTCGAAGGTTGCCGGTTACTGGAGATTCATCAAGTGACGGAATGCGTCACTTAGTAAAGCATAGGATATTTTTCTGCTCCCGCTTTCGATATAACTTAGTTTCTAGTAATCAGACAATGTATCAGATACAATTTCGGTCATGCATGATAATACTGGAGCGAGTGAGTCCGTTTGATCAACACGCGAAGAGTGGCTCCTCGTCAATGAGGAGTTCGACAAAATGCAATCGAGCCTAAGCGCATTGGGATTCGCAATTCATTTGTTTTTGGGGACTGCAGTATCACTGCACTCAATAAACTTAAATTCAATAAAAAACTCCATCCCAGGAAGTTTCAAATTCATCATTGAACGGTCTTATACAGATATATTCTCAAGATCAGGCCCGAATCCTTACAATTTTCGATCGATCTCTTCAAACTATAACAACTCAAGGATACTGAGGATGTCACTGTGTTCCAGGTTCAGCAACTTTCAAATACCAATGCGCCTCATGGTTCGAAGGTTCTACCTTTCCGTAGCGAGCTTCGACTAAAAGAGGCTGGTCATCCATGATTTCAGGATCATAGATCAAATCATTCGAGAGACGATTCTGGATCCTAAAGGAACCAGGAAACTTGCTCGAAACGATGAAGTCCCACTCTAAGCCTGGTTCATCCATAATCGAAGATACGAGTATGTTCGACCCGCCGGCAGTACTCACGCGCCGTCCATTTCCTGTTAAGACCCAGGAATCGTTGCCATTCTCGGACTTAGTGAGGCGAAAGTGCTTGACCCACAGGCCGAGATCGTTTGAAAATGGATACGGAGTCGACTGCACAGTCGAAATCCCTGCTTTGTTCATGCTGTCTACCAATGCACGATTGGTCCTCACGTTGACGATGTGGAAGACTCCGTCGTCGACGGGAATGGTGTGTGGCAGAGTGGGCACGGCCATGCTGGCGAGCGTCCAGTAGAACGTAGGCCCGAGTATCCGTAGCAAGGTGGAGGTGAAGATCAAGAACGGAATGTCTCAACCTGCAGCTGTCGTCGAATGTAGTCGTGATGACTGACAAGGCTCAACCGCATCGTTTATAAGGCTTGTCACACCTCGTTAAAAGGATGAAAGGAACTGTGAACGAGATTCTCGTGGTTCTCCAAATGCCTCAGTAAAAGTCTTGCGTAAAAGAATTTATCTTTTCAGGACGGAAACCAGAAAGAATTAGATTCGTTTCATGGATGAGAGAAATATCTCTGATTGGAAGCATTGCTATGAGCCTGAGCCTGACAGGTTGCTCTCAGAACTAGCAGTATGGATGAGACTTTCCTTACAGAATATCAAAGACAATGTTTTCCAGACCTACTTGAGGTTTCAAGGTTTCAAGGGCCACACGTAGCTTCGTCTATCATCAACTTTCGCGAACTAGAACGCGTGAATCTAAGAGTCTCGGAAACCTCCCTCTACCTTATTTCTGTGAAAAAAGTATGTAAGTGGTACCGTTAGAGAAGCAGAGTTATATCCTTGAATCCAATTCTGAGTCCAATATTTACTTGAGATCCGAGAAACGTGAAAAGCATGGGCCGGAACGCGTGACCATCAGCGATGACGGCTGACGCGAAGGTGAATTCATTGCTGGGGTCCACGTGCTGCTCTTCGAAACTGCTAGCCTCGTGAGCTATATAATGTCCAGTAACTCTTCCGATTTTTCCCCCATCCTATGGCTCGAAGTAATAACTCTATGTGCAATCGTGAGAGTTCTTATCGTTACCTTTTCCTTAAGCCTACACAATTGGTGGTGAGATATGTGAATCTGTTGTGTGCCAAGGAATCTGAATTTGATACTTCCTTACATAGAGCTCCGTACGCGACCTCAAGAGACTCAGCCTAAGAAATGCTGTCTGAGTGTCAGGCTTGTTGTCAGTACAGTTATCCCCTTTTTATCTCCTCTTCCTTTCTCCATTGAATCTATGAGATTTTTTCTGACGCCACTATCCTTCACACATAATCCAAGTGGACAAGAAGGAAAATGAACGCTACTTATTTCTTGTTCCATTCGTGTTTGTCAAGTCACAACCTTGAGACTGTCTTCGCTTGTCGCATGCTAGAAAGCACGGACTCTTTCTAGTAGCGGAGAAGATGAAAACATGACTGCTATGGAAATGAAATCAGAAAATTGGGCTTTGGAAAGAAAAAAAGTTTTTGAAATTGTCAACTGATTGTTAAATCGAGAAAAAAACTGCTTGAATGTACTCTTAACACTGCTCCTCACATGTACTCTTAATGGCGTGACGCATAATAAATCATACATTGTTATCTCGGATAGAAAGTATCTGATGTGATCACAGCAGGGCTGACATCACAGAATAAAGAGAGACTTGTGCACCATACCGGAGATCCAGCCTTCCCATACTCTTCTTTTAATCAAAACATTTGGCGATCGAAAATTCGAAGGATCAGGAATTGTCACTCGCTATGATTTGTCAACTTTCTAGGAGCTGACAATATGTGAGAGGACAGTTTACAAATGCTCGTGCTTCATTGGATTCAATTTCCTATCTTCCATTCACTTTCGGATCTAGTACACGTCAGCTTCTAAATTATTGTACTTTGAGCTCCGAAGTGGGCCATGCGGAGTCATATTCGCCAGCATCTTCTGACGCGGTGAAACACATGGACGTGAAATTTGATATGCTACGCAATCTAGGGTGAGTACTCGTTCTAGTACTACAATGACAAGATGCTGAGTTCCTCACTTTACAACGTCTGCGTTCAGATCCATTTCGTCACAACTTGCATGGATAGTTGTGAGTTTGGAATCATCTGCCAACAATTGTTCTTGGGTAAGCAGTTGGATATTTTGTTGGCTTTGTGAAGGAAAGTAGGAGATCTTAGCACTACTGGAAGCTGCATTATACTAATAGGAGAACTCAGTGCAACAACCCCAGATTGCTCTAAGTGCCCCTAGACTAGAGATCAGATGGAGCGCAGAGTGGCCACCCAGGCCTGAGTGGCAGTGTCGGTAGTGAACTTTCGGCTTTACTTTGTATGCATGCATGCAATCGAGGCCACATGTTTCTAAGCACAATTAACCCGGAGAAACTAGCGTTACAGTTATTAAATCTCTGCATTGCGTCAAACCTTCCTAGTGAACCATAACCTTTCTTCCCTAAATCCAGAAGGCGGCCATTAACATCCCACCTATTCGAAGAAAAAAACTACTGTTCGACCTAAGTACTTGTAAATTCAGTGAGTTACGATTACTTGTCTGCCTAATTTGAGTTCTCGGTTCAAGGGCAACAAAAGGAACGTGTGTAAATTTTCTTCCCACTTTTTGCTACCTGGGAGAAACTTGTATAAATGCACCGGCAGTCCTCATAACTCACACTCACAAGTGCGAGCTGAATTATAGACCGTAACTCCGAGCTGCAGTTATTCGGTCTTATTCCTGTTTATTCGAGTCCTCTGCCCAGGTATTTTGATCTGCTTGTATTTCTTCCATTACTTTAATGTTCAGCTGTTGAATTTTTTCGGTTTCTGTTTCTCGATATGTAACCAAGGTATTTCTTGCAATGAAGCTCCATCTCTCGTGATAGATGCTCTACAAGAAATACAATGGAGCTTTTCATAAGTGTAGCAGATTGCAGTCAGGAAAGAAAAACTATTCTCTGCGCTTGGTGTTGGACTTCAATGCTGGATTCCTCACTCTTGTACAGTAGGGAGGCTGTATTATGCAGCTCGATTGACACATGAAAGAAAAACTACTCTCTGCGCTTGGTGTTGGACTTCAATGCTGGAGTCCTCACTCTTGTACAGTAGGGAGGCTGTATTATCCAGCTCGATTGACTGAAACTGTATTGACCTATATACAAAAATGAAATCACTTCACGTAGCGCCATCGGTGCATTAGAAAAGGGTTGAACTAACTTGAATGGTTGCAGGCCAAATTACCCACAGTACATATCCAAATTTCTTCCAAAACATCAAATGGCGAACTCGGCAACTATTCCAGCGGAAGGCGATTCGTACTACATTGTCAATGTGAAAACAAATCGTGTTTTGGTCGACAACGTGAACCGAATGCTCATGGATAAGGCGCAAACAACTCCCTTTCCTTCCCAGCTGAATGCATGGGTCGATCATTTTACCTTCTCCAAGTCGGAGAGCGATAACGGCTCCTGGATTATAAGGGGCAACGTACGTATCTTGACGACCGCTGGTGAGGAGGAAGGTATACTGTACACGGGTGGTCGTGACCAGCCAGGATTCGAGTGGGATGTCATCGCTTCGAGCGAATACAAAGATGCTTACCGCATCCAAAATCGCCACAACCAAGATCTGATATACGATGCTCCAGTGCAGGATGCTAATCCTCCTCTGCTTGTTGCGCGCTATGGCAAGCGCGACGAATCCGATGAAACGGCACAATGGTATCTCACCAAAAGGGGGCCTCGTTCAGACTAAGCCGTTTCATCCGAGCATCTCTATCGATCCTGTCGGCTGATTAGAGTGATGGAAGACACCACGACGACGCTCGAGAGAGTTCATAGATCGGACGGAAGCTCGTCCTCTGAAATACGGTCGACATGGGAGGATCAGCCCCCTACAAATAAAGCGGCTCTGGGTTTATGAGCGGAAAGCATCGATCATGTAGCGTTTGATCGTCGGCTTGTGCGTATAAATTCTATATGATTGACTGTATCATGTTACTAAGTTGTAATAAAAATGTTGACCATCCTGGAAATCTATCCAGTCCGTCACGAAATCCATCTCTACAACTCGTTATTGATCGTCAGCCTATATCTGTCAGTCGGAGTAGTGCTAGTTTTGCCTTCAGAAGTCTGAGCATTATACACAGTCTTGTGAAATTCCAGGAGCCAAAGCTTTCCTGGTGCAGCTGTGGAAAACCGTACGCCCTATATATCACATTCTGCAGGACATATCGAGAGCAAAGGAAGGAGTCTAGGCTTCAGATCCAAAGAATTTGACTCTGAAGACTCTGAAGCCTACGAGCTACAACGCTCTTGAACTTGTCCAGGAGTTTAGTTTAGTTTCACTGTGCTGCCCTGTTCCGACACCTAACGTGACATGTCAAGTTCAGCTGCTACTTTCTCATTAGGAGAGACTAGATTAGGATAGACAGCTCGGTGGCAACAATAATGTCGTGCCCCGCGAATTGTTTGCTTTCTACGATGCATGACAAGTGCAAACCCAAACTGACGTGGGCGTTAAGCTATCCGAAGTAAGAATGTACGAGGGGATCATAAAGTGTGTCTAAGAGTGAAATAAGTGAATCCGCACTCAGCACTCCGTATAGAGCCCACCAATCTACACATTAGCACTATTTCTAAATATCGCGACTCTTCGACCTTTCGTGGATCGGATTACTTGATTCCGGTGAAGTCCCTTAGGCAAATGTGTCTATCCTTTGAAAGGATGCCCCGTCCGAGCATGTTCGTATTTACTATAGTGAACCCTTGAAGTTGCGGTAGAAACACGAGAAAGGCAGATGGTCACTTCGGTCCTTGCAGTGCTTGAAGGTTAATCCACACAGTTCGACGGTCAGTGGCATCCAAGTGGACAGCTGAAATTGTCACCTACCCGAGTAAATACTTTAGTGTGAGAGTCTGAACTTCTACTACTAGAGCCATATAAGGCATGCAGTATGTGAATTCTGTAGCCTAAGTGAGCGACTGGTTTACTACCTTGATTTGATTACAAGGTAGACATTACAACGCTGCGAGTAGACAGGAAGTCCTTTGCTGAGATTGGATTGCATTCAATGAAATCCAGGGAAGCCACGGCGAGCTATTTCCATTCTCTCGTTCTTTGTACTCTGAATATAACTTACCAGTTCTCATTTCCAATTCCCAGTGAAAGATTTCTTGGTGGCATTGTCATGTTATTGTCACGGGATCCTTATGGCATAGTTGGATATGCTTTGATTGAAGCCATGCGGCCGGCGAGATTTTATTAGTTGTCCAATGGACTCATCGCGACGGCTGCTGCACGTGCAGGGAATGTAAGGCTGGGGCGTGCATCCATCGATTCAGATGCTCTGACCTCACGGAAGGTAGTAAGCACGAAGGAACTGGCAGCCATTCAAATATCGTAGTGCAGCTCGGGACCTATATTGTTCATGTCTGTCCTCTCCGACCACTGAGCATATCCAGCACCGGACATCCTCTATCAGTTCTGATTACGTTTGAAGCTCTTGCATGGTCTACATGACGGATCTGTAGATCTAGCGATCGCATAGACTGCCATTTCCGGCGATTAAACATGTACGAAGGTGCACACTTCAGGTGTGTTTCGGGAAGGAGCATGAATGGTGAGCATGGAATCTGACACCTGAGAATATGCTAATATATACTTCCCACAAAAAGTCGAAGGAGAACTCGTTCAGTAACTTTCCCCCCCTACCCTCCATCCTGCGCTTTCCGGGCTGGGGTACTTTTGTAGTTGCCGCGTACGCGACGCGATGGAGTGTTGTCGATCTTCTGACAAAAGAATTCGTGATAAAGGAGAAAGTGGATTCTGCAATGGAATCTACTCGGTTTCGAGTCCGAGTCTGCATGGTAATCTAGCACCGTCCTCGTCGGACGCGGCGCTCCGAGCCCTCTCCGACAGCCTTAAGACAGTGCTCAATGAGTGGTGATGGGAATTGTACGTAGTCATCATTTGCATGACCAGCTTCGCCATGCTACCGCGTAGGTCTGACCGAGTCCAGGGGTTGTTGCTTCCCCGTCTGGATTGCACGTCACTCGAGCTCACCGAATTTCGCTTATGCCGTCTTGCAGTTCTTTCTCTACGGGATGGGAAATCTAACTACAACCGTTTCACCTCATACGTTCCTCTAGTTTTTTCATTTGATCATAAATCAATTCCTTCATTGATTGATGCAGACCACGCAATACTATGCATCGGACTTACGACCAACGTTTTTCTGCTCGTAATCCGAAGTTGTCTAAGAACAGACCATACATTGTTGGAGCGAGCCCTCATGATCACAATGGGTTCAGATATCTGCGACTGCAATGACATATTTCATAGATTTTGAAACCCACCCTTGGCAAAGTCGCAATTTTTTGAAGAAAAACTTTGTATTTAAGCTTTGTCTAATCTAGAGAAAAATCTTAAAAATTCGGACTTTGCCAATGGTGGGTTTCAAAATCTATGAAATATGTCATTGCAGTCGCAGGTATCTGAACCCATTGTGATCATGAGGGCTCGCTCCAACAAAATAAAAAGGATAACAAGATACCAAACGGCCACACTGCGTTAGTGAGCTAAAGCTAGAGCAAATTAACAGTTACATTCTCCAACCCACCTTAAAACAATGATATAATAAATTTTTTACTGTATATATACATATTTTGTTTTACTTCTTTGGTCTGATTCATTCACAATGTGTTTGTTCTTGCATCTTCGTTTTATATCCGAAAAATAATTTGCAGCAAACCATCTCAAGTACTGGATAAATTGGCCAATGAATCTATTTAAAACTGTACGGCTCACGAGATGTCAGTCACCAAGAAATGGAGGCTACATAAGAATGTGTATCTCCATTATCAAACTAGTTCGATCATTTCTTTGATTTTTGGATTATACGACAAAAGTTTGCATGACTTTCCATAACACATTCAAGTAAACTCAATGCTTTCAACACCTGGTTTTCCAATGAGCATTATAGTAGGTCTAGGCTTTTCCTTACTTGACAGTAATCTGAGCTGAAATGGAGAAGAATAATGCTAGACTTCGTAATGGTAGAAGAATATCAGATAAGTAATAATTTGAAAAATAATCTGAACCTCATTTACCGAAATTAACTTTAGATTTTTGCAATGAAGGGGATTCTGCTTTCACAGACATACACTTGTGAAAAGTTTCTTCATTCTTGATTCTCAAAGTACCATCTTTGACAATGTTAAAAAACCACTGGCATCTTCCGTACCACTCCCAGGAGAAAGAATCCGACAGGGAAGCGACATGCAGCCCACAGAAAGGAAGAATTTCGTTGAGTATTTCGTATCCCGACCCAAGCTAGAATCTGGAATTTCATACTGGTTGAGCTCCAAGCAAATAATGAATGGATCTCAACGCTCGGATCAAGATATGATGCCACCGGATTAAGGAAATAAAGTTTCTTGTTTGCATTGTCCCTGGACTTTTTCTTTGAATGGATGTAAATTTCCCTATCATTGAGTTTGTATGAACTACCCAGGCTTTTCAAGTCTTCTGTATCTATTTCAGATGCTTCAGATTTGTCAGACGTGTATTTCACCTACATTGTCATCTCTGAATCTGGAAAGTGATCATTTGATATTTGCAGTGTGTATATCTAGCTCATAGATTTCGGGCATATTTTAATACGGAGTAAGAAGGTCCGGTCATGGTGTTGCTAAGATTCAGGATTGAGGGGACACAAAGGACATGATTGGACGCGGAAAGGACTTTGTTTGCGTCCGACAGAATAATACATCACCACGAGTCCATGGACTCATGGTGAAATATTGTACTGTATATATGTGAAAGACTCACGTGATGGAAAGATTTTGTAAGATTCAATTTGAATGCCTTAAATATCCTCCACACTAACGTTAGTTTTCATTACTTCCAGAAGGTATTTCCTGTCATGATATGCTATTTTCCATCTGGTTGGATACAAATTTCTGTATCCCTGTCATCCCGTCTACATAGTGAAAGATTCAGTCTGATTCTGATTCACATTCTTCTACCCAACTACTCAGATTATTCGATTCTATGTATCACATTCCCTGACTGATCATGATTAGCAACGTGAAAAGAGAGCACAGAAGGCTGTAAGATACTTGACCTTTCCCTAGGTCTAAAGGATACGAGCCTTTCGCATTCTGATAACATCCAATTCCAAAGAGGACTCCTAGCTTCCATGATTCAACTCTCATTTGCGATAGAATATGGAAAGTCTCATTCTACACGATTATGGCCAGCTTGCGTAATTAAAATACGAAGTTGTCAGCAGTGACAATCACACTGCGGAGAATATTACTCCACTTGGAATGCCACTGGAATGACCACTTGGAATGCAGAAACTGAGGTATAAAAGACCACCGAAATGAATGACTTATCACAAGTTGGACAATCTTCTTCTAGATTTTCGACCTCAAATCAGCTCGTAAGTTTTATTCCTGCCTTTACCTGGAAATATATGAATGCTCTTGGATACATTCAGCTCAAACACGTCTCAAACTTTCAAACCTTGTTTCTCCTTCAAGGCCGCGCACGAATCTAGATTTTAGCAAGTTTCTGTCCATTGTCATGCATTGCAGATTTTATTTCTTTATCTAAAAGCTCAGATAATAACATTTTGCAGGAAGGCGAGTCCAATCTTTCACGTGTTTGGACTGCCTTCGACTGGGTGCGAGGATGAAATCGTCCACTTGTTGAAAAGACCCGGAGCTCTCTGGTGAAGGGTCGGCGGCATCATTCAAGCAACAATGGCTCCTACGAGTCTGAGATCGGTAGTCTTTCTTGTGCTAGCGGTAGCCGTAGTTGTTTCCGATGCGCAGTTACAGCTGTCAGAATCGTTCTATGATGCCACATGTCCACAAGCCGCATCCATCGTCCAACAGAAGGTGAATGCATTTGTGGATGCCGATCGAGGCCTCGCTGCAGCTTTGATGCGACTTCATTTCCACGATTGCTTCGTCCGGGTACGTCAACTCGTGATGCTAAAAGCAATGCATGCATACGTATACTTGTTAAAGTGTAAGACTGGAAGACAAGTTCAATGCTGACCAGTAGCGCTATAACTTCTAAGCGAACTTTGTATTATTGACGATGTACAGGGCTGTGATGGATCCGTCCTTCTCAATTCTACCGAGTCTATGCTGACAGAGAAAGAAGCACTGCTGAACAAGGGTTCTCTGAAGGGATTCGAGCAGATTGACGAAATAAAGATGGAGCTTGAGTGCGCATGCCCAGGTGTGGTATCCTGTGCTGATATTTTAGCATTGGTCGCCCGAGACGCTACCGCTAAGGTACTTTGCTAGGAGTTTAACATCACTCATAAACTAGCAAATTCTATGCAAGTCATACCACCTGATGCAAAAATGCGTGGATGGTGTTTTGAATGCTCGGAAAGGACGTACTGGTAGTGAAAAGTATTCATGGAGCATATTGGCCTTTCCAGGTTGGTGGCACTAGCTGGCCCGTGTTTCTGGGCCGTATAGATGGAGGTGCTTCATTCGCAGACGAGGTCAACATTAGTTTACCTGCTCGGAAAGGACGTACTGGTAGTGAAAAGTATTCATGGAGCATATTGGCCTTTCCAGGTTGGTGGCACTAGCTGGCCCGTGTTTCTGGGCCGTATAGATGGAGGTGCTTCATTCGCAGACGAGGTCAACATTAATTTACCTTAACGTACAAACAACTTCACGCAACTCGTCGCCAGGTTGGACTCGATGGTCGCTAGAGTTGGACTCGATGCCAGAGACATGATTATATTATCAGGTATGACAGAGGATGAAAAAGAGCATGTGCCTTGATTTTCTCTAGCTGCAAAAAGCTTGATTCTTGTTTTTACGAGGAAGTTGAAGCACAGCATTTGGGACATCTCGTGGTCCAGTTGAGTAAAAATCACGTGTGGGATCCGAGTTGGATCGGTTCACAGTGTACCTAGTCACAGAAGCAGGATAATCCGGAACCGATCCACGCTGAGACACAGAACGTACCTCGAGGAATGAACACAAAACACCTTCAAAGTCATTTTGTGCTCATGAACACATTGGCATTGATGCAGGAGGACACTCTATCGGACAAGTTCACTGTGGTGCATTTTTCGAGCGCCTCTACAACTTCCAGGGACTGAACATCACCGATCCCTCCATGGACCCTGAGTTCGCTGCTATGCTCAAGGTCCAGTGCCCTCCGACCAAGCCCTTTGGATTCATGGCTTTGGACGCGACCAATGGCACCTTCGACTCCGCGTACTACTTGGACCTGCTGACGAACAAGGGCCTGCTGGAGTCGGACGTGGCGCTCTTGAGCGACCCTCTGGGCGTGGAATATGCCATTAGAGCAGTGCAAGATCCCATGGCCTTCCTGACCGAGTTCGGATGGGCCATGATCAAAATGGGCGCCATTCCTGCGCTCGAGCCCTACGGCTGGAGAAGACACTGCGCGTTCGTTGAAGCCAAATATTAGTCAAGAGATTCATTGTTAGGACGAGTCTATTTGCTGTAAGTAATTCAGGCAGTCTGAGTTCACTAAGGACAGCCTTCAATAATAAGGTAGTGAGGATTGTAGAATCAGGTAGAATTCTCAACAAAAGTACAAATCTATGGTGCATCTTGGCTCATTTTCCTATGTCATGCTTGCAACTACAGGGTCACATAGCACTAGTGGTGGGTGTAGATACAATTCAATCAGATGAATCTCCTTTGATTGATCCGAGGCCAAGCTTGTTACTACTCTTCCCTGTGTAATAAATCCAAAAACTATTGATTCCCCAAACATGACTTTGCACTGCACTTTACAAGGCCTATAAGTGGTCAGATCTGCTAAATTGTTATTGATCAAGTGAAGTCAAGATGTAGACGTGTAGTTAAAATTGAGGTAGGATTGATACTTTGGATCAAAACATGATGTCTCGGCAGGTCTCCCGGAAGTAAAGAGGTCTCTCTAGATCTATTAAATGAAGAACTTTCGTCACCTCAGGATATATAGATAATGAATCTTATCCAATCAGTCAGTAACGTGCAGGAGTGGTAATGAGGAGATTTTGATATTATACCTGCAACTATTTATCCTTAACGTCGTCGTGTCAAAGAGCCTAACTTGAGGCAAGAAGTAGTTGCGGAATAAAGTGCGGACAATCGATGAGAATTCGTCCATCTGAATAACCAATTTGAACATCGTATGTCGGCCAAAAACTACATTTTAACATTGCTGGACAAGTTGAATTCAATGAACTGATTTCTTGAATGATCATTTCATTTTCCATTTTTGATAAAATCGCCATCTGACTATATATGATATTCACTACAACAAGCTGGGGTAGTTTCCCTGCCAGAAAGAAGTGATCATAACGATCCTCGATTTCTGCAATCATAAGAAGTAGCAACTGGGTTGAAAATTTCAAAAAATGAACAAAAGTAATTTATGTTAGGAATTGTGTCGCAACAAGTTTCAGAACTATTATAGTGTACCAAAAAAATCTAGCCAACGAGCGGATGAAGATACTGTTGCTGTAAGAAGATTGTGCTCATTGCATTTCTTGTACATCTTTGGAACCTGCAAGTATACTGTAGGATATATATAATTGTCGACATGGTCAAATTTTAAACATCTCCTTATATACCTTGACGCAGTGTGGCAGTTTGGCATCCTGTTTACAGTAAAAGTACTCCCGATCGCAATGGGTTCAGATAGCTGTGACTGCAAGGGCAGATTTTGATGGCAGCCGTAACTCCGGCAGAGGCCCAATTCTGATGGAAAACTGTTGTTCTCAAGCTTCGCCTATAGTCTACATAAAGGCCGCATCTCTTTTCAGCCTCAGCGCGTACTGGAAGCCGCTCTTCCGCATTGCATACTGGTCCTTCTTTCTATTCAGAATATTGCCATCCTTATAATGTACCTTCACGAGTGTTGTTTCATGTGCTGTGCTCATATCTTGGCTGTGGTCTCGCTCGATTCACCGCTAGTCGTATGGAAATTTCATCGGTACGAAAATTATTGCATGAATCTTAATCCCAGTGCAAATGATACTGCGACGTGTCATCTCGGACTATCTAAGTCAAGATTCCAGCAGTTGACTTAGTGCTCGATACTCGAGGCAGAGGTCCGTATAGGGAGGTACACGTCTCAAAGGCTTATTAGAACCTGTAGAAATATTTAAATGTGAGTATTTCTATTAAATGTATGCAATTCTAATTCTAATTCTGAAATTTTATGAGAGAAATATTTTTTAGTAGATGAAGTATTGGACAGAGTATCTTAACAAATTGATGAAATCGAAATGGTGCTCGAATGTGCATGCCCAGGGTTGTTTCATGTGATGGGCTCTGTTGGCACGCGATGCTACCGTCAAGCTGCGGCGCATTATTCGACTTTCTGAACACTTCCAAGGTCAGAAAATTACGTGCCTTTCAATGTACCCAGAATTTGTTGAGATACTCTCGGCTCGATATGCTCATACCAGTCCCTTCGATTCATGCCCTTGGACGCGACCACATCTCCTATTTACAATGCGATGTGGAACTACTGAGAGATCCGCTGGGGGTGGTATGTACCACTATTGCTTTGTAGAACCCCAACAAATTCTTGTAGAGGTCAGGATGTCAACGATAAAGATGGGTAGCATTCCAAGAGTTGATCATCACGGCTGGACAAAGCGTTGCGTTTTCACTGAACCGAAGGACTAATGGGTGGCTGCATTTGGTGGGATGCCTGTTAATCTGCAATAAGTTTGCTCGTGCTTAGTGCAATTGAGAAAAATGTTAGAAAAAAATGATCTGAAGAGTAGATTTATCATCATTCACTGCTCACCCGGATTTGAGCACAAGTTCACAGGTGCGACACTGGATGGCTCCAAGACTCTTGGGCCCATTGTGTCTGCAAGTGTAAATGAGAATCAGAAATGAAGAATTTTACTGAAAACGACCCAAACTCAAAAATGGATTTTGCAAGTACTTGAAATCACAGCAGATAATATCTTGGGTCAAGATTTGATGCCACTGGATGAAGGAAAATCAATTTTCTTCTACACATTCTCCCGGCTCTGTACTTTAAGGTTTCAGCTCACTCCTGAGCTTGTATACCGTATTGCACATCATTATGAAAGTGTGATCCATATGGATCACTTATATATGTTTATACATGTGGAGTTAATCATTCCTTGTTACCGAAGGAATGAAATCCAATGAATCTCTCCGCTCCATTTGCTAAGGAATCATTCGTTGCTTCCTGAGAAGGGAGCACACAAGGTGGTTAAATCCATTACTTTTCCTGGATCTGAAAGACACATGTTTGTGCGAAGTGTGATCACATGTAATACCAATGACGACACCTAGCGTCCATGGCTGCACTATCAGTTCCCATATTATATGATAAGCGACATTACATTCAGTCATGGCCAGCTTGCAGTATTAAAATAATTTTACTTTTTTTAATATCAGGAAAGAACAAGCACAGCGTGGAGGAGATTATTGGGACCACTTGCAATCCTAAGCTCAGATATAAAAGACCATAGAAAGGAATGACTAATCACAAGTTGGACAAGCTCCATCTGATCTTTGACCTCAATTCAGCTCGTGAGTTTTATCTCGTTGCGATGCTTAGGCGTATAGGTTGCTTTAGTATCCTGTCAGCTCAGCAAGTCTCAAAGTTTGATTTCTCTTGTGATTCTTTCTCTGTGTCCAGTCTTAGCTATATTCTGTCGAGCATGCACATCGAATCGTCTTTCTTTCTCTGAATCCCAAATCATGGCGTCGCGCAGGAAGGTGAGTCTGATCAACTTGCGTGATTGGACTGCCCTCGACTGGGTACGAGGTCGAGATCGTCCACTTGTTGAGAAGGCCCGGACTGCCTGGGGAGAGTGCATTTGGCATTGTTTGAGCTACAATGGCTTCAACCAGTCCAACATCGCTCCTCTTGCTTGTGCTTGCGGTGGCAGTAGTTGTTTCTGACGCGCAGTTACAGCTGTCAGAAACATTCTATGATGCCACATGTCCACAAGCCGCATCCATTGTCCAACAGAAGGTGAATGCGTTTGTGGATGCCGATCGAGGACTCGCTGCAGCTTTGATGCGACTACATTTCCACGACTGCTTCGTCCGGGTAAGAAGGATCCACTGTTTTGGAAACGTGGTGCATTCAAGGACCTGTTTAGAAGTTAGTCACCTTTCAATACTTAAAAATGGTGTTTACCCTTCTGAACGACAGAATACTGATTGACTTGCAGGGTTGTGATGGGTCCGTCCTTCTCAATTCTACCGACACTATGTTGACTGAGAAAGAAGCATTGCTAAACAAAGGTTCGCTGCGAGGATTCGAGCAGATAGACGAAATAAAGATGGAGCTCGAGTGCGCATGCCCAGGTGTGGTATCTTGTGCCGATATTTTGGCATTGGTTGCCCGAGACGCCACTGCGAAGGTATGTGGTTTGACGATTGACAATCCCAGGGATCCACAGCTATCAAAACAGTATATAACCATTCAAGCACTTAATTCTGAGCTTTGATGTCGATGATAACAATGTCTGAGTGCTCGGACACGATGCATGAGGCTTGTCCTATACCTGCACGAACTTGCACTCGAAGGTATTCAGAAACAATATGTGATCATTTGCAGGTTGGCGGCATCAGCTGGCCCGTGTTTTTGGGCCGTATAGACGGAGGAGCTTCTTTCGCCGATGAGGTCAACAGTAGTTTACCTGAACGTACAGACAACTTCACGCAACTAGTCGCGAGGTTCGCCAGAGTTGGACTCGATGCCCGAGACATGATTATACTATCAGGTAACTTGATGTGTGGAAAAAGAATTCTCGTAGGACTCTTTAGCTACAAAATACGTCATTGTTGATATACTGAAGGATTTAAAGCCCTGCACGTTTCAAACTCGATGTCGGAGCGATTAAATTCATACGTTGTCGTCCCCGACTTGGGCTTTGTTGTATTCAGACGTTCTGCGGAAAAACTCGACCAACTCTGAAACACATAATGTACCTCAGATATGAATTCAATGCACGGATCGTAAAGAGGTCGCAGCAAAGCACACACACTCTTTACTCTTTACTCTTCATAATCTCTTGTCTTTCCTCACAACATTCACTCTAATGCAGGAGGACACTCTATTGGACAAGTTCACTGTGGTGCATTTTTCGAGCGCCTCTACAACTTCCAGGGACTGAACATCACCGATCCCTCCATGGACCCTGAGTTCGCTGCCATGCTCAAGGTCCAGTGCCCTCAGACCAAGCCCTTCGGATTCATGGCTCTGGACGCCACCAACGGCACCTTCGACTCCGCGTACTACTTGGACCTGCTGACGAACAAGGGCCTGCTGGAGTCCGACGTGGCGCTCTTGAGCGACCCGCTGGGCGTGGAATATGCCATCAGAGCAGTGCAAGATCCCATGGCCTTCCTGAACGAGTTCGGATGGGCCATGATCAAGATGGGCGCCATTCCCGCGCTCGAGCCCTACGGCTGGAGAAGACACTGCGCCTTTGTTGAACCCAAATATTAGACGAGTGATGCATTGTTTAGAAATTTCCATTTTCTGTAAATAATTAAGGCTATCGGATCTCACTTCCGGCAGCCTTCAATAAGATGCTTGTTTCTTTCAGGACAGTGAGGATTGTAGAATCAAGTAGATTAGTCAACAAAAGTCTGAATCTGTGGTGCACTTTGGACTAAGTCCTATGTCATATTTGCAACTATAGGATAACATAGCACTAGCGACGGGTGTAGATACAAATGATTTAGATGAATCTCATTCTTTGAATGATCCCTAGGCCAACCTTGTAACTACTCCTTCCTGTGTAATAAATCCATGACCATTGATTCGAAATGCATGACCTTGTGTTGCAGTTTAGAACTACGCCAATCATTGGATAGCTTATTTCAATCATAAATGCTAAACCGAAAAACCTTAATCAACGGAATTAAGAATGTAGATGGGTAAAGTAAGAGAAATAAGTATGTCGGACGGATGTCTCGAGAGGCAAGAAAGACATGATGTGTAGTCGGATTTGTGGGTTTTAATATGCATGATCGACATAGACAATTTGATTCCATTTAACATGAAGTAATTATAAGATTTGATGACCCTTAAATGGATTCAATTTATGCACAGGATTCCATATATATATATATATATAGAGTGAGTGCGTGAGAGTCGTCACTAGATTCAATCTTCAATGGTAATGAGATGTTTGATCAAGCCCGATAATTCGTGAAGAATTTGCTTCTATTGGGGTTAGCGTTGTGATCTTTGGTGGAGAGTTTTATCCATAGGAGTTACCTTCGGGATCTCTTCAAAGGAAGATGATATTACTAGTGGGGGTCCGCCGAAGATTCATTGAAGATGCTCAAACATCGTCATGATAAAAGACAGTTTAGCAGATGATGGAAATATTATTTTTGTCACTATTTTTGAAAGTAGGATTTATATTCTGCTGACGAAAAGCCCGGACGTCCCTTTCCCAGAATCAGAATCCGTGAGCTTGTGCTTTGTCTCGGTGGAAGTTGCCAACTTTCGGAACGATCGGAATTGGAGACTAGATAGAAGGCAGTGCCTATAATTTATCAGCAGCTAAAACCAAACAGTGCCTATAATTTATCAGCAGCTAAAACCAAATGACTACGACTTGTATGTCGTTCAGCGAACAATAGTTGTCCTATTCGACTCAAAGACGCGTACTCATCTTCTTCGTTTGCAAAGTAGATCTCGCCACCTCACAACATGTCGAAGTCCTAAACTATTACCCGACGCAAGTCCCATCCAGTCCCAGGACGAGAACGCCTCTTGAAGCAATACGAAAGCTAGTCCATGGATAGTCACTGGGGCAGGACCGAGGTCATCACATTTAGAGGAGCATCCGTTGAGAGTCAAATACCTTCCTAGCTGAACACAGTTGAACATCTGATAAAAAAACATCAACTCGATATGAAAGTCATAAAGTTTTAAAATCAATCCTGTCATGGGTACTGGTAGGATTTCACCACGTTGATATTTCAGAATAATTGCTAGTCATACCCGCTGACTTAAAGTTTCGAGATTTCAAAAACTCGTAATGGTAATACCAAAATTTTCGGTTTTTTTTCTTCATGAATGAATACCCTATCCCCAAACGACGGTTGTGATAATTTAATTGTTTTCATAGTTTCTAAAATAATTTGATGTCCGATACTCGTTTCTATCATTATTTCATTTCCTGATTGTATTTCAAAATTTTATTGTAGAACAAAATTGTTTCAGATTTTTTTCACACCGTAGTTTTGTACATCAAGGTAGGTCGGTCATTATTATTATAGGCTTCGAATTGATGCTCTGCTTTTCTAATCTCGGCACCGTAACACAAGCTTATATTGATGCCACCACATATGCTAGTCTTTTATATTCACAAATTTCCTTGTACCTTCCTTCTACACAAGTTTCTTTCTTCGAATTCCCATATAATACATCCCTAATATACTCTTAGCATTATCTAAATGTTTCATTTTGAATGCACATTCAACTTTTTACTTTACATTAATATTCTACCAACATGAACATGTAGTCTTATACCAATAACATTATGAAATTTAAGTTTTCATAATCCATTTTTCCCACATATATGCTTAAATTTTACACACTTCATAAAAGTCCTTGTGGTTCCATGAACTCAATGAAGGGCACATTTGATAGTTTAGATTTCCTTTGAATTTATATAGTAATTTTAGCATTTTACAAATCAACATCTATTGAAATTATTTCTCAAAATCATTGGATTTTTATGGAAATTTTATTATTTTATTACCGTTGAAAAATATTATGATTTTATCTATCTATATCAGATGTTTTACTAAGTATTGCAATATATATATATTAGTCAAGTTGTAGCACAATTTGTCTATGTGAAAAACTCTTGTAGTTCGTACCATTCTGTTTTGTGAAATTTTAATCACCAATCTACTTTAAAAAATAATATTTTCATCATGTGCTAAACTGTCTTTTTATGATGACGATGTTTTGAACATCTTCAATGAATGTTATTTCTAGCGAATTCGAGTTCTTTCCAGAAGTTAGGTAGTGTAGACATCGCAAGACAATGAAACATACACACTTCATAAAAGTCTTTGTGATTCCTTGAACTCAATGAGGTGTACATTTAATCGTTTAGAAATTTATTTCAATTTATATAGTAATTTTAGCATTTTACACATCAACATCTATTGAAATAATTTCTCAAAATCATAGGTTTTTATGTAAATTCTATTATTTTATTACCGCAGAAAATATTATGATTCTATCTATCTGTATCAGATTTTTAACTAAGTGTTACAACAATGTATATATGCAATAGTCAAGTTGTAGCATAATTTAACTATGTGAAAAATTTTGTTCTAGTTCATATCGCAAGACAATGAAACCAATAACTTTAGCTGTGCTCACACTCGTTATTGTGTACTGATGTCTAATATAGATGGGGATCGTAAATGTAGAGTATATCACACAGTGGCCCGTCATATTATGTCACGTAGTGCCACATCAAACGTTCGTCTATTAGTGCAGCAGTGTGGTTTGAGTAGATGCAAATGTTTGCCGGAGTGCGGCGCGGGCACTAAAGTAGGACACGCGTGCAGGACAAGCGTCCCAGAGCAGAGCCCCAGTTGGTAGAGGCCTCGAGAGTTCCGTCAGCCCAGGGCATATCCTCATTCGGCCGCCATCAACTTACACAGATTTCAGACCACCCTGGACAGTGAGTTGTCCTGCTGCTGATAAATTTATAAGCACTGTCTTCTATCTAGTCTCCAATTCGCGATTATCGTACGTTAGTTCCGAAAAGATGTCTAATGTTTAGTTGCAAGTGGTTTGTTTGTGGCGAAGGCTCTTTCCTGTTGGGACTGTGATAAACTATATGGGACAGAATTCTTCATACTAAGGTTGTACAGATCCTTTTTCATGGCTTCGCAATATTTGTCGATGGGAACTTCTTTTGATTTTCTGTTGTCACATAACACTGGAGAAGATCTTTTGCTACGGAAGAAGTCAAGACCTTTTCTGCCCAAGGCGGCAGAAAAGCCTTCACTTTTCAGATTGCAGCGAGGGAGAAAGAAGCGCCCACCGCAAATAACGTGGGAAAAGATGAGATATCTCTTGTGACTGACACCTCCGAATAGTGACATAAAACCCTAGAACGATTATGTGTCACTATTGGAAGGTTTAACTCTGTATTGCTATTTCCTATTTTAGTGTTTTTTTGCGTTATATCCGAAGTGTACCCTGTTTTCGTCCTCAACCCCAAGAAAGAAAAGGACACACGGAACTTGCAAGTCGCATCCTCAAAATACGATAGACTGACACTGTTTAAAGTTACAGGGATCCATAAGAACTAGGGAAAAGTTACGAGAGCTCAACCTCTTTATAGCAGTATATGTAGAGAGTTAACTCGCTATTCATTTAGACACCATGCGATAAGTTAGCACGGAAACTGGGAAAGAGACGTCCGACCTGCTGCGATGACGATGTTCTGAACATCTTCAATGAGTGTTATTTCTAGCGCATGGATTCCGCCGAATGCGCTAGAAATAACACTCATTGAAGATGTTCAGAACATCTTCATGATAGAAGACAGTTTAGCAGATGATGGAGATATTTTTTTTGTCACTATTTTTGAAAGTAGGATTTATATTGTGCTGACCAAAAGCCCGGACGTCCCATGATAAAAGACAGTTTAGCAGACGATGGAAATATCTAAAGTCAAGAGATAGCTTACCGAAAAAAGTCAAGAGCCTTGGTTTCTCTTGATCTCTCGTGAACACATGTCAGGACGGGTTTGCTGACAGGTGTTCACGATATCGAACAGTGAGCGAGGAGGCGGTCAAGCATGTATTAAGAATAGGAAGAGTGAAATGCAGGAATTTTTACAGGATACTCATACCGATGTTACTTCGTCATCCCTGGAAAAGTGAGAAGTGAAACGCAGATAGCAGAAACTCGTCAGCTCTGAAAATAGATCGACACAGGTGTGCAGAGCATTGAAATCAGTCTCGTGAGCAGAAAGTCTTGTTGACCATTGTTCTCGACCTTGACCACTGTTTTGGACCATTGTTCTCGACCTTGACCACTGTTTTGGACCATTGTTCTCGATCGTTGATACATGCAAAATGAACAAAAGGTCATGCAAAGGTGAGACGGGTCTTACCAAAAAGTGGAGCAAATTTTCTTCGAGAGGCAAGGGAGGCCCCGAAAACTTTTCCTGCGAGTACAAGGGAGTGCGCCAGCGGACTTGGGGCAAATGGGTTGCTGAGATTCGGGATCCAGGGAGAAGAAGTAGAGTGTGGTTGGGGACGTTCAACACCAAGGAGGAAGCTGCAGCGGCTTACGACCGGAAAGCTTTACAATTTTTCGGTCCTACTGCTCACCTCAATTTGCAAAGCTCTCGCGTCGCCACTAAGTCTAATCAGAACACCGTATTTACGCCATTGTTCTCCGTACCTTCGCGAACATTGTTCTCAAAAACAAATCCATTTCCTCAAGTTTCTGATTTGTTCTCAAAAACAAATCCACATCCTCAAGTTTCTGATTTGTTCTCAAAAACAAATCCACATCCTCAAGTTTCTGAAATTCCTGTGAGTTATCATCCCGTTAACCTGGTTCATGTCTTATCTTTTTGGTGATAGATTTTGTGTTTGTGGTAAAGTTTATTTGAATACCCGAATGGTTCTATTACTCTCCTACTATTATGTCATCGGGGTATGATTCTTATTCGCCATGATATGTGGTTGTGTTACAGACTGAGCCGTCGAAAACTGAAACAGATTTTAGTGAAAATTTCGAAGCATTATACACAGGCTCGAATTCGAACGATGCTAGATGGATCCAAGATACTCCTATAAACGACCTTCCATCACTAGACACTGACTTTGATTCAATTCGAGATTCTTTCATACCTTTAGAACTCAAAGGATTGAAAAAAAGCGAAGAACTTCCACCATTAGATACCGACATCAAAAATTTAGATAAGCAGCCTGACTTTGACTTCACATCGTATTTAAACGAAATCGCATTCAAATACAATGACGGGCCTCGATGAGGTGAGTTCTATTAATTTTATTCATTTTTTTATCCACTAGGAATAAAAGTTTAATTCACTGCTCCACCTCAGAATACAACTGCATCGTTTATCACAACAACTCACTTGTAACAGTAGATGTCGTTGGAAGAAAGTATGGTTGTAAACCGCTTAGTACATAAAACTTTTCAAAAAATTTTCCACGTAGTATGTTACATGTCTCACCTGTTTGCTCTCTCTGATGTACAGCTGGTGCAACGTTTTGCTGTCGTTGATTTGTCCAATTTCTGTTTTGATATCGCTAAAGACCAACTTTACACCGGGTACGTTCCGAAGCACAATGTACTTCTTCTAGCTGATTTTTTATTTTAAAATTTTGCCTCTTTACCTTTCTCTGCTCTACATGTGAATGTGAATAGAAACTTGAAACAAGCCTTGTTTTTGCACTGGCACAGAGAGCTATCTTTGCCACGGAGGAGTTGCCAGACCGCACTTGCAGCTCTCCTTCTATCTTTAGTTCGAGTGATTGCACCTGTGATGCCCCATAAGGCAGAACATGTGTGGCAAATTTCCGTTTGATTATTACGATGGCAAGAATACAAAAGCAGAAACTGTCTTTGAAGCCGCATGACCAAAGTGGAGGAATATTGGAAATCCGTACCAGAATCAGATTTGAAGTTCTGTGCAGCTCTTTTGCAAGTTTGGTACCTTACTTCATAGTTTTATAGTCAAATCGCTAGTCACAAAAGTGACATTTAAACAAAATCGAAATTGCAAGTCAAGTAGAGTTACATGAGGAGTGTCTAAACGTCTCATAAATTTGGAGCCATCTCTTTGATTTACTCTTGCAGTGGCTAAGTACTTCAGATCTGATCCGTCTTGAGTTTTATAATCTTTGGACAGGTAGATGTCTGAGGCAGAAGGCTGAAGGACTGAGGCGGTTTTAGCAGAAAATTTTCACACGCTGAATATTTTCATCTGTGTTCAGGTTCGCGAAGAAGTGAATAGAGTTTTGAAACAAGCGAGAACTGGCAAGCTCGTAGGGGCAAGCCTTGAAGCGAAAGTCTACGTCCATTCCTCCCATCAGAAACTACATCAACGTCTGCAGGGTTTTCCACGATCAGTAGAAGGAGTGGATAGCTTCAACAGAATCTTTTTAACATCTCAGGTGATTTTTTCTTTAGCATGAATCGTAGTTTACATATAAAATTCAGGAGAGGCTTAGAAGAATGCATGCATTCTTTCAATATAGAAGGATTGGTTCAAACATGTGAAACAAATCAAGGATGTCAACATATTTATCTTAGTGCAGTAAGAGGTTCTTCATTCCTTCATATAGATTCAGAGTACTAGGAGAATAGATAATGTCTCTTAAGTTGAAAAGTTCATATAGAAGAATCGAAGGAAACCAGTATGGCTGACAAACAAACGATTTGGTCATGTGTTTCAGGTCGAAGCTGTTTCTAAAAGCGACGGTGAGAGCATGAACCATCCTTACTCAGGCAGCTATGTGATGGAAGGATATGGACCTTCCTTACTCAGGCAGCTCTGTGATGGAAGGATATGGACCTTCCTTACTCAGGCAGCTCTGTGATGGAAGGATATGGCGATCTGTGCAATGGGATATCTTGTGCCGATGGTACCAAGTGCGAGAGGTGCTGGAATTATTCTAAAGCAGTAGGAACGCTTGAACATTGCACACTTTGTGAACGCTGTAATGGTGTCGTGAAAATGAGGCCTGCACCATAAACATATATAGCTGTGTAGATATATTTCATTCGTGGTGTTCATCGTCTATTCATTTTACATTCCAGTTGTAACATAAATTCACACAATTAAACACACGACTTTGCGTCAGCTCCGTCGAGTCAATTGATTTGGAATGCATTGTGACCGGTCATGACATGGAAAAATTAACGAATCTTGAATTCTTCAAGACAGAAAAGATACTGGAGATTCTCGACGCATACAGAAATATTCATCTCTTCATTTCCGTTATACATGACCTTCTTTGCACATATACATCACTTATGAGCTTTGATATATGGACTGGTCTGGTGAAATATGGGAAGGATTTATACCTTCCCAGACCAGTTTCCGACACTAAAAATCCTGTAGTGCATATTTATTCACATTTTCATTTCACATATGGCTTAAAGGACGTGGTGTCTTGCCCTTGGAGGAATTAAAGGGTGCAAGCAGTGTCACCTGTGCATTGAAACGAGAAGGCGATAGCGTCAACCTCTGACTTCACCACCATCTCACCAAGAATGTTGAGCAAAACTGTGAGTTTCACAAATCACAAAAAATTGAAATGTTGATCCTTTACCTGACGAAGTGCTGTTTGAGAGCGTTTGCTCTGAGTCGGGCTTTAGACCAGGACTACGAATCTCTGTCTAAATCTCAACTGCAAACTCAAGTCGTGTGAGTGCTGCATATTATTGACATAAGGAACTTCTTCCTTCTTGTTTGGTTGCAGTGTGCATATCAATTGGCAATGCTTTTAACATTACATTTCCAGGATGGTGCGCGCAAATTAATGCGAGAATGTGATATAACTTATTTAGTCAAACTGCCCTCATTTAAGGCCATGTGTTGTCCTAAAGATAAGACTTTTCTAGTTTGATGTCCGTACCACTCCGAAACAAGATTCAGTCGCAGGACTTGCTATCTGATGCCGTGATTCTCATCCCTATTCAGCTGCATGTACTAATAGACCAGATAAACTTCCTTTTCATCTGGTACCTTCTAAACCATCTATCTATCAATAACTAGTCCTTCACTTCAAGAGATTCTTGAAGTGAACGAAATCGATAACCTGGGCTAGCTTCTCTCTGTCACAAGTGAAATCGATTTCATTTGTTTCACATCTGCAACTAGTGCTAGATTATTGCACTGTCACTGTGCAGGCCCCATTGCCTTAACGCAGTATTCAGCGACTTGTAACTAGTGCTAGATTTTGCACTGTCACTGTGCAGAACTCCATGGCCTTGACGTATTAATCAGTGACTGTGATTGAATACCACTATCCAAGAGATGTCTTTTATGAGGGAGAGCCGCAGCTGTATGAGACCTTTTCGCGTCAAACGCTGGCACTGCAAGCATGGCGTTTCCAGCTCACAAGAAACTGTTGACCACTGCAACGAGAGGCCGATGACGAACAGCTCATTCCGACCGGTTCCGAGCAGCCACATCAACTCATGCTCAGAGCAGGTTCTCATGTTCAAGCTGAAGTCATGGAAAGGGAGCATCCGGACATGGATCGCATGTTCACGCTGAGGTCAATTAATAAGAACAGATCGTGGATGGGAGCATCCGGACAAGCTCTTACGTCAGAGAATATCAATCATAACGAGGGACAGGAGCATCCGGACAAGCTCTTACGTCAGAGAAAATCAGTCATAACGAGGGACAGTTGCTCGAGAATTGTGCATATGCACCTACATTCCAGACATCTATCTTGGTTAGTCAGGAACGAGAACACAGATAACGTTGTCGAGAGTTTTGTCTCTTGAAATGCCTCCAGGCTTTTGGTACGTGTTGCGATATCTGCTAATCTGTGTGGATTAACTTGAAGGAGATTAGTTCCTACAGAAGCAGACAAGACTCCACGAGCTTTCTGTCGCCAGCAGGTACGACATTTTATGATTCGTCTCTCTCAAAGTTATTTAAGGCTATTTATGGATAGGTTGGAGATGCACGAAAACATCTAAAGTTCACAAACGTAAAGATATCGTCTTATGCTTGATGCGAAGATTCGGGTTTGGGAGACCCTTAAGTGACTCTCTTGCGCCAATAAAAGGTGATCTTATATTGGCACGACAGAGCATTACATATAGTTTTAATCCCAGAAATCGAGATGATGGGTTTGATATTGGTCGACATTTGCCACGCAACGTTAAATGTCGTCGTTCCATATGCCAATCAAGTTACGAACAGATTGATTCCGAAGTAAGTGGTATTTTCAGCTCTTTCACTTATGCAGGTGTTCGTTCTATATACTTGGACTCAAGGATTATTCGTCATTGTACTCTTATTTGTGAAAAAAGACGTAAAGAGGTAGAGATCTCAGCAAGTAAGTATCTTTGCTCACAAGCATAAGATTCATAAAGTTGATAAAACTACATTTTAGTGATTCGTTTGCTCCAAATAATGTTGAGAAATTCCTCCTTGATACGTTCGCGCAGGGCAATAGGTTGCAAATCTCAATCAAGTTCTGTCACATTACACCTCAAAGACCAAGTCACAACATCTACAAACCACCCCTTGGTATGTGTGGCACGCAAAGCTTCAAGAGGAAGTTGAGAAGCATCAAGAAATCTCACTCTTTGGACGTAAATGATAGTAAAAAAAAGAGCATTAGCCTCAGGAGGTAGACAACTTGTTTCCGCAAGAAGAATACCATATGAAGTTTGGATCCTCACATCCAATTCTTCTTGTAAGGAGATCTTTTGCACCCTCTCCAAACGCTGTCAACCTGTCTTCTTACAACCACGACCCCACACTTGTGTTCCATGGAAGATAACGGGAAACACTAAGCTCCTAAGACTCCTAATTCCCTAAGACTCTTTGACACTAGATGAGCTACTCTACATCTATTTAGCAATGAATATAGAGCTTTGAAACCAGCTTCTATCCTCTTTTGCACACAAAGTGCCCAACTATATTTGGAGTAAAAATCAATGCCTAAATATTTGTAACTCTTCATTTGTTCCAATTCTAATACTTTGTAAAAGAAAGAAAGCTTGGATCTAATGCCCACAAGAATGACTTTGGACTTCTTCAAGTTGACCTCCATCTAATTTTGACTGCAAAAGCTAGCCAAAGTGTCAAAGTGTTTCTTTAAACTAATGGCATCACGTGCTAGTAATATGACATCATTTGCATACAAAAGAGTTTTGATAACAAAGAGTCCAAGTTTGACACATTCACAATCCTCTAACCATCTTCCTATATCATCTATGAAAACTCCAAAGAGAGTAGGAGAGAGAGTACAACCTTGAATAACTCCAATGGTACTCAAAGAAACTTCGGTTTGAGAAGTGTTGATCTTGGTCCGAACGGAGTGGTATAATGTGGCCACCGCTGCTAAGAGATCTGATGGTACTCCAATGGTTTGCAATCTTTGCCATAAAATCTCACAAACTACTATGTCAAAAGCTTTTTTGAAATCAATGAAGGCACAGAACAAAGCTTTTCCATTGCCCTTGGATTTCTTCCATAAAACACGCAAAACCAAGATATGATCTATAGTGTCGAATGTTATACAAAAACTAGCTTGAAACCTCGCTGTCTTCTAAGAAGATTCAGCCCATGTGCTCAACTTTGACTCCATCAATTTGCCAAGTAACTTGGCAAAAATACTACCCACCATGATAGTATGATAGTTTGTCATCAAGGCCTTGCTCTCATATTTGTGAATAGGAATAATCTTCCGTAGAGACCAAGTTGAAGGAAAGCCATGGTAGGAGCATTCTCTAACACTTCAGTGAGTATAGGCCCAATAGTATCTCCTCCCCACTTGAGAAGTTCAATGGATAGACCATCTAAATCCTCACATTTATCATTTGTCAGAGTCGAATTATCACTTCAACTTCATAAAGTAAGCCTAGATTTACTTCACAACGTGGTATTGATGCAACATTGGAAAAAAGAAAAAGCTTTTCAGCAATAGAAATCAATGACTTGGTGTGGTAACCCACTTTTTGTTTTTGTGCGGAATTGAAACATTTTTGGAAAACAGTACCGCAGCAGCAACTGTAAATAGTAATCGGTACACTAAAATAGAGTAAAAATGGATGATCACGGGTCACGGAGAATCATCAAGAATCATCGAGTTGGGCGCAATGTCCGGGACAGGCGCCCTGGCCGGAACGTACGGTTCCTACTGAGGGGGAGCGCCTCTGGCGCCTTCGGCAAAAGCTTTCTTGTTAAGGGGTCTTCGGCTCAAGCCCCTCCAGAAGAGCTATTATATAGCTGAGGACGCAGAATCGGCTGCTGCATCTGAACGAATCTAAGCTGATCTATTCACGAATCCAGACTAACTCACGAATTGGCACTTCTTCCGAATTCTCCTTGAGTTCCAGTGAGCATGCCAACTTTTCCCATCTTCACCATTGCCGCTGCAAATTATGTGAAAAAGCTGGAACCAGGGTTGGAGAAAGACCGAACTAGTTTCTTACCCATGCTTTCGGTGACGAGGGTAGAGTCTGTGAAGATTATTCACTTACCTTGCAGCAGATTTTTGTAGTATTCACGGCCAAAAGTGTTGGCTGTGGAGTCGACTGAGACTGTGTTAGTCCTGTTAACCCAATTACAACGATTCTTGAGGATTGTGGAGAAGTTCTTACTCTTGGCAGGGTGGGTGTCCGTTGCATCATCCCTTCTAGTGAAGTTCAACAGATGTGGGAGTACACCGTTGCAGTGAGCCCGACCGATAGTATGAGCAACTGCAAAATATGTAACTTGTCACGCCAGTGAGAGATAATCTTACTCGAAACAGTGGAAGTTATTGCACCGACCAGTTTATCAATATAGGCATGTAGACGAAGTTGAAGAAGACGTGAAGACAAGATTCCAGAAAGGAAAACTCTTCTGGAAGCTTGTCCAAACAGAGGTCAAAATTTAAAGTAGGGCATAAAAGTCAGAACATCGATGGCGACGATTCCCAGACCTGAGAGTGTAGCCATTTCTCTTGCATTCAACCCCTTCGCTGCAAGGTTAACGACAAGTTGGCTGATGTTCGATTCAGGGAAGGGGAGGTTGGTGTCAGCCATCACCTTCATCGACTGTGATCCGTCTCTCTGCGCCCTAAGCGATGGATTTATCCCCAGAGAAACTGTATAGAAGGAGTATGCAAACATAGTAAGATACTCTGCTATATGTGGAACTGGTTCTCGATACACATCGTATAATGTGACGTGTCCACAAAGTTTAAGCCATTTCAATTTTTGTTTTTGGTTCTGAAAGGTTTGATTACATGTACATACATGGATGGAGAAGATTACTGTTTGTCCGTGATTTTTGAGAGTTCTAAGATCTCATCACAGATTTTGGCTGAACCTAGGATGCTTTTGTCTTATTCGTTAGATCTTCTTGCTGCTGATGCATTTTGACTGCGACAACTCACATAACTACATCATTTATCAGTGTTCATGTTTTTCCAACGGTTTGGATTGTGATGACATCAATCACTATTCCGAACAAAACAATGACAATATTGAGAATTATGGCAAAGTAGTGTTCTCATTTTTCTGATTGTAATCTGAGACCGGAGGTTATTTTTAAACTGCTAGTATGGCAGGGAGTTGATGGTAATTACTTTCTGATGATTCTTTTGTTGCTCGTCTTTAGCTCAATATACAATAATGAATAATTGTCAACTAGGCGCTCCATATTCATAATGGATCATCTGTTTCTTTTCTTATACAATAATGAATAATGGTCAACTAGGCGCTCCATAATGGATCATGTGTTTCTTTTCTTCGGACCTGCATCTAGGGGCAGATTACTCTGAAGATCTATTCAGTTCCAGAATCATCTTTGATGCCCTTTAACGTTGCGTCATACTCGACATTCAATCTGCCGAGCAATGATTCCAGGAGTTTCTTCATGTCCACCATCAGGCATCGATGCAGCTCCTGTATCAACTTTATTCCAAGGAGCTGCCAGCATGGCGTTCACAGATATTAAGAAACTATCGACCTAAAGAAGGATAACCAAGCGCTGAGATGTTCGCTATTTTTCTACATCACCTCATGCTGACGCAGGAACATTCTCTGAACTCGAAGATTGTCCTGAATGTCATTCTTATCGGCCACAGATCCACCACATGCAACTCGCTCACAGTTTAGATCACTGTGGTCGAGTTAAAAAACGAAAATAAAATTTGAAGATTGCGGATTCGTGAGATTATTCGACAATGAAGACATATCGGCCATGTGAGTGTTAATTAATAAACCATGGACCGCCAGTTCTATTTGCTACGTTGAGAACGGTGAAAATTATACAGTTCACACCCTACTGGGAACCCACGTTCCCAGTTCCTGACGTCCGTGAGAAAGTAAATGTCCTAAATCCGGTATTATAACTCTGGTCCCACCCACTCTTTCACTTCCTTTTATCTATCCTCTTCTTTTCCTTGAGGATGAAAGACACGAAACCTTCTGGGCCATCACAGAATCTCATCGCTAGCAGAAAACTCATTGAGAACCACAGCAGTAAAAGCCTTCCAACTTGAAAAGAGCAGACTCACAGAAGAAGATTGAGAAGATACACATATGCTCTTCACTCCCAAGACCTCCCTGCTGTTAATTCTAAAACAGTTGTAAGTACACTGAGCTGCGATCACCTTAGACCAAGATAAATCACCATCTTTCCTAACACGCTTCGACTTCTCGACAAATTCCTTCCTTACTAGGTAACTGGACGTATAATTTGTGGAGGACAATCACAATACAATCCTTCCAAGTACTACGAAACGGACTTAACTGTACATCATGTATTTGCCACTGAGCTAGACTAAGTGCTTGTAAGAAAGAGCGGCAATCTACAGATGCAGGCTGATAACAGTACATCACCTACTGATTTCTTTCAACCTGACTCGTACACTTGTCAAACATATTGGTAAAGATTGCTCTTGAGAAGAGGTGATGAAACAACTGCCATTGTGCAGTGCATTAAGTTAGTAGAAGGCGTCCGAGAATATACAACATGAGGTTTAACTCAATGCAAAACGCAGAGAAGAGGAAACCTCGGTCCAGTACAAAACCAAAGAGCGAAATGCCTGCATTGGAAAACTGCATGTAATTTGCTGCAGCATAAACCAATAGCACCAAGCACCACCCACCATCAGTCATCTAGCCTAATCAGAGAACAAACAAAGTGAGAGTGACCTGAATGCCAAACGCAGCATACAGAAAACTCCGGTCTAAGCTAAAACCATAGAGAGAGATGCCTGCATTGGAAAACTGGAGATAGTTCACTGCAAGAAAAAAACAATGACAACATGTAAACAAAATCAGTTTCCTACAGTGGACTTCACGGTTGGTATGTACGCATCTGCTCTGACTCAGAATGGGGATTCGAATTGATGTTTGATTCATTGAAAGTAATTGTAGACCTCCCGAATTAGAACCAGCCTCATCAACGCACATTTTAAATGAGTCCTAGGTATTGCTTCTTTGAAATTTCCTCCACATCCTCCATTATCAAATTCATTCATAAAATTCCCATTAATTAGCTACTTCGTTAAGAACATCCCATACAGCAAAACTCTGGAGGTTTTAATGAGCGTACATACCGAGAGCCTGCCGTTTGTGATATTCCTCCGAGTCATGTGTAGGTTGCACTGGTGGTCTGGTTGTCACATTGATGGATGCTTCTAAATCTCCTGTGGCTTCATTGTACAGAAGTGGATGTGCGGGGCCGAGAGAACGACTTGATGCGTTCAAGTCCATCGTAGATACAAGCATAGCATTAGGACTGCAAGTCACGACCGCATGCCACTGTGTCACTATAGACATGATCTTTTGCGCTCTGTGAGTTATTTTTGCTGCTCCATGGAGACATATCACAAAACCGCTTAGCTGCACAATTGAGCACACCTGTGAATGAAAGACAACAAGATATCAGATGGTGCAAGCCATTACACGAGTACCAATGGGACGCTCTTCTGGAGGCATGCATACAGAAACTTGACCAGGACAGACTGACAGTTTGTGGCTTCAAGAGAACCAGGTGAAGTCATGTAGTTGATGTCACTACAGACTGGAAAGAACGATGAAAAGATCACGATCTTAATATTACGAAGTAAAGAGAAGTGAAGTCCTCTTACCACCAAGTCACCCGCTCTAAAAAAGTTGATATTGTTCTGTGCATCAGAAATGACAAAGAGGGAATACAGTTGGCTGAGAGTGATCGTCAGCATGGAGAGGACAACAAACACCCTGAATCTGTGACTTATAGTCGAAAGCTGATCCCGTATACGCATGTGCTCTTGAAGAATAACACCCACGTCAGTTGTTTCTTCCAGAAGTTTGATATATCCTTGGAGCCGGAATATTTGAAGAGAACACATTAACCTGAAGAGTACGCATACGAAGAGAAACACCATCGACTTGTACAGCCATGCCACGATACTCCCGATGCACAAGAAGACGTTGAGAATAGGGTCCTTTGCAAGAAAAGGCAACTCCACTGAGACGTATAAGTACCACCATCCTTTGTGAATGAGCTCAACAATGATACAGGGGAGGAGAATCCATGCCAGCAACTTGAAGGCATTCTGTAAAACAGGAGGGAAACAAATCAGATCTTCACCTCCTTCCATAATTAGTATGTGAGCTGCGCACCAACATACAGGTTGACCTTGGCCACCGCGATGCTCAATTTCGTAATTACGATAGTGCTTTAGGCACTGGAATCGCCACCATAGTCAACAAGTTTTTTCACACCAAGAGTGCAAAAGCAGAAAATCTGAATGTTTGGGATGACAGGTTAAAAATCTTAAACGGCATTGTATTTTTGAAGAATTGGCTCCGCATAAATATTTTGACCTATGAGTATCTTGCTATTCAGTGTTCAAGGGTTTATTCTCAGACGCTACCGCTAGTCAATGCAGCTAAAGTGAGTGTGATGAGGAAGAGACGGAACTCTCACCTGAAGCTCCGTTTCGTAGTTGTTTCGAACGTCCATCGAATCATCGCACACTTTATCCAACAGCAGAACCTTCCGCAGACCGAATTTCCGTAATATGCTGGAGAGACATAGAAAGGAAACAGCTGCTAGGGCAGATTCCGAATAATCGACGAGAAGTTGGAACGGATGACTGTGATCGTCGTCGCACTTTTGACACGAAACGAAGAAGGCGTTGACAGCAGGCACCACCAGGGTAAAGAGAAGGAAGAAGAGCCAGGAAAAAGCCATCCGAGTCGATGTGGATTGGTCGAGTCCCAGAAACAGGAGACTCGCGCGGAATCGCTGCAGCTCATCTCCTGGATGAGAAAGAAGCCTTCGATAAACCCTCCGCGCTTTGAGAATCTTTGGAAGCGATCCAAGCCGTGTCTTACGTGGGAGAGGAGGACGGTGCGCGGAATGATGCTGAGACGGCCTGGGCGCGATGGGTATTGCGGTTTCATGATTCTTGGAGTGCCTCGTGTGATCGAGAACTTTGAGTTTTTCATTATTCACAGGCAGCGTAGGATCGGGCAAGGTGCTTTCTGGCAGACTGCTCTCGTGGTTCACGATCGCTCTTGTGAGCTCATGATTCTCAAGCGCCTTTGTGAGGTCCTGCAATCTATTATCTGGCCTTGGGGATCCTGGATATTTGTTTCTGTGCTGATGACCGCTTGGTCTGTGCTCGCGAAACCCGGACGCCGTCGAAGGCCTTGAAGATCGAGCAATTCTGCGCTCACGTTGCAAAACCACTCGTAAATCTGGCACGCTCGGAGATCCATACATATTGTTTCCATGATACACCGTCAAATCTGGTACGCTGGGAGATCCTGACACTCCATGTCCTTGAAGCCTTGCAGGAGCTGATCCGGCTGAAGGTTCTGGCTCTCTGTATCCATGATGGGCTACCGTCGATAAGTCTGGCACGCTGAAGCCACGAAGCGCCTCTTGTGCTGTATCGGCTTCCTTCCAATTCTCACGATTCTCATCCTTCGGCAGTAGGGGATCAGCTAGAGAACCCATATTCTCGGCGCGGAGAGACCCTCCTCGCCGATCAAATCCAGCACTCTGTGCAGACTAGAATTGTATGCATGAGAGGAACTCGGACCGATTGTCACGAAGGTTCGGCGGAAAACTCTCCCACTGCAGCTGGAACGAGCATCAACCTCCGAGGGAGATGTATGGGACCGACGAAAGGCGAATAAGCACTGATCACGGACGACGCTGCAATCATCGAATTCCTCTGTACTGTCGAGAAGCAGCGCAATCCCATTCTTCGAGTGATGTCTCTGGAGGCTAAAGAGCAGGGACTAGAAAGGGTAAGTTGGCCAGCAGACAGGCCTCTGCAAACTACGCAAAATTGTTAAAGGTCCAGTTCCAGCTCGAAAGGCAAGCAAATGTCAGTAAAACGACCTGTTAAATTGGTGGGCGGGCAAGAAAGCCAAGTCTGAATTCTCGGACCGCGGAAATATTTTGGTAAGAAACTGCCACTAGAGAAAGAAAAGGTGTACAATTGTGTGTACAATCGTCGTTGGGAGAGTCAAACGCCGCCACCGAATTGCAGTCGCCGAAGCTTAAGCTTGAAGCGCACATGGCAGATGACTAGCTTCACGCCATGCATTTAGCCCGAGGCTTCAAGCAGGTCAAAAAGATCAGAGGACCTCACGTTGTACTCGCCGCTGTCCGACTGGACTATACACATGAGCCGCGCAGATCCACCTGATCTGAGTCCGTCGCTTCGCGTCTTACCGACAAGTTTCTTACGCCCGAGGGGATGAGAGAATTCGAGAATCGGACCTGGCATAAGTTCGAACATGCCAGTGACAAAGAGGGCCACCTAGCCTAGCCTAGAAAGAGAGAGAACCCCGTATCCCACTAAATTTTTTTCCCGGAGAGAACCCGGAACTTCTGTAAACCCGCACCCGACGCGGCGCAGCACGACCGAACTATCCTAAACCCGAACTACTCCTCCTGGACTCCAATTGGACCTCGCTGCACCGCAACGACGGAAGGGCCCGATTTCACAGAGAAAGCAGAAGATATCGCCTGAGCAAAAAGTGCGCAATATGTGGCATGTGCATCCTCAACATCCTAAACCCCTGGATCAGCGTCGCCACCCCTTGCAGTAACCTTCCCATTTCAAATCTTCTCTCCTCCCCCCTCGTCCTCCTTCCTCCTACCTCCCTCCTCTCTCTTCGACTCGTTTCTCAGAATTTCTCTCTCTCTCTCTCTCTCTCTCTCTCTCTCCCCGATCTGTCAACTGCCTGCCCTCCCTGCTCTCTCCCTCCCTCTCGCGAGACTGGGTGCCTCGACCAACCGAGTAATTGTGCGATCTGATCTGATGAGTACTGGGCCCAAATCCCTCCCTCCTGATTCTTCTAAGCGTCGATCGATGTGTCTTTCTTACTCACAACGGTACACCGGTACTACAACCCTACCCAAGGAGGAAGGCTGTGAGTGACGAAGGAGAACCGCAACTCTCGTACGCATTTATGCACTTCAGTGGGCGCCACGGTTCCGACGCTAACTCGGGTTCCCGAGGGGGTTACTGGGGTTACTTGCCTGAGCTCGCGGACCTTTTGGGCGAACCTGAGAAGACTAAAGTTAGGATGTTCTGGGATCGAGGGTGGTCGCTGCGCTCGAGGCCATCCGACGGCCCATGTCGCGAGGGATGTGTCACTGTTCGTAAGGACAACAAGGATACAATTGGCGGGAATGCTTGTCGCTTTGGCCATGCTGGACTCACCGCTGGCCCCACCATACTTAACCATGGTCTGTCTGGTCGATGGTGAGGACGGGAGCCGCGGTCCACGGTTTGTCGATGATTGGACTTGGGCATCATGTTCACTCTTGCAAGCAGCCGGTGAAAGACACGCCAACAGGACAGATTCTTGTTCTTTTGCGTGGTGTCGACAGTTTTCCACTCGTTCACGGTGGGTGGTATTTTCTCATGTGAGATGCAAGCCGTTCTCTTAATTTTTTCCTCCAATTTTTTCCTCCAATAATCCTCCAATTTTTTCTTCCACGATTTTCATCGGTTTGCATTAAATCATTCTCTTCATTCAAGCTTCTGCTTATTCATCCATTGATAGAAAAGCTGAATCTTTAATGTAAATCGTTTTCATTCCATGACGGTGGGTGGTATTTTCTTGTGTCAGATGCAAACCGTTCTATGAAAAAATGCTATCTAATCCTCCAAATTTTTTCTTCGACGATTTCATCGATTTGCATCAAATCATTCTTTTCATTCAAGCTTGTGCTTATTCATTCATTGATAGAAATGCTGAATTTTTAATGTAATTCGTTATCATTACATGACGGTGGGTGGTGTTATCTTCTGTGAGATGCAAGCCGTTCTACGAAAAGCTCTATTTAATACAATCTAAATCTGATTTTTCTTCGACGGTTTTCATCGATTTGCAGTATTGAAATTCATTATCATACGTTTTGTTTTTGGGGCATGGTTTTGTTTCTTCTAGCTCGAATTTGTCCACCCACTTCCGCTGTACGCCTCTTGTTCGCACCTTCTTTCAAGTTGTGCTCTCTCCTTGACAAGGGGGCCACTACAGATCATGGTTGCGGGTGTGTGATATGGTAGAAAGTTCTCTACAAATCATGTGCCATCATTGTCCTACAGATGGATCGTTCATTACTTGCTCAGCACAAGGACACAGTTTTTCCACATAGAGAAGGAGATGAGAGTAATATTCATGGGAGGCACAAGTTCAAAGTAAAATTCCTGGACGGTGAGATTATGCATGACACTATTCAGTGCAGTTGCCAAGTGTTGCTACTGTTTTATGATGTGGGATAAAGACCTATGTAAGCCTGCCATGAAATTGGAGGTGCAAAAGCAACGTGTGGAGGATGTACTTACCGATAGAATGACTGCACTTGGATCCTAGCTGGCAATACATGGATGACAAGTAGGCCTAAGGCGTGTACTAGAAGCTCCATGAACTGGGAATGGCGTATATGAATGAGCAAAAGTATCAGGCTATGTCATAGCCTGATGTCTTATCATAGCCGCTATGATAAGACATCCATATGAGTAAGCTTTCTACTCTCATATCCAATGGATGCATGTAACATTCAAGAATGATTTTTCATCATTTTAGAAAGATGACGACGATACTCTAGGTTCCACAGAATTAATAAAACTAATTTCTCAACTCAAAAATTACAATTCTGAATGAGTTCCTTGAACAAAGATAAAACACAAAAAATCGTCAATATTTTTCTTGCTGACTCAAATTGAACGCAATGTTTTGATCTTGTTTCAAAACATATCAAAATGATATTCGTTCGATTAAATTTGTGTAGATCTCCTGCACCCGTAAAAGAAAAAAAAATTAGTTTACATTTGATGTTTGCACATAGCATGTATATAACTCACTCTTGTACTTAGTCAAGCTTTACCTTTTAAAGTTTCAACCAGATCGAAGCTGCGAGTTAATTTTGATCGTCTAGTTATTTTCAGATCTTACTTTGACACTGACGGCATGAATATGGGAGGGTAGAGGCACAATAATTGCAGCACGTACATATTTCTTCCCTGCTCTATTCTGTTCAACTTGGGCTTGCTCATCTTGCAACTCAAAATCAGATGGCTTCCATGATGACGTGATTGACGGTACGCAATCTGCCATTTTCTCTGCAAGTCTGTTTCCTCCAATCGCGTGGATAGTAGTACTAGATTGGCACTCATTCTATTGTATCTTGATTCTTCCACATTTGCATCTGTGAATAGAATTTAACATGATGGTCTCTTCTTCTACTTTTGTCTGCCAGCTAGTCCAGCTGAATGCCAACATCATATTTCTCGTTTGATTAAAGCTATTAATCGTTTCCAGATCAGATTATTAGCGTCTTGTCCAGGTTGACATCGATGAAGACTCATCCTTCCTCCTCCTGCGTCAAAGATGTCCCCATGATATTATACAATACATAAGCAACAAAACGACACAGAAAAACGCCCACCGTGCGATGTGATGCCAAAGAAGCAGACAAAACTCAAGGGATGGCCATAAAACAGGCTCCGGTGACCATCCCTCCCAACCCCTGAGTTAAGGAAGGTACCCTACCTTACAATGTAGACTGTCAAAGTCCCAGGGGTGCCGAGTCAATCTCTCCACGTGTCAGGCCCTGGGCAGAGCGATGGAGCAACGTGTCCGGAGGAGTACGAAACGCAGGACTCCGAATATTAACTTCAGATGAGAACAAGAAACGCTAGAAAAAAGCCCACGCTCCAGGATGGTACAATTAACGTCACTTTTGCCCAGGCCGAGGAAAGAGACATCTAACTATAGACCTCTCCACGATGATGGGAATGGCATTTTCTCGAGGTAAAAGCGGCTCTTCTCCTCGCCCATAGATCAAGTCGAAGTTGGAAAATATATAAAATAAAACCGCACCGGGATATTGACACGAATATCAGGTCCGTTTCTGTGCAACGAACATGCCAAGTCGAATGGCTTTACCGTACTGAAAGAGTGTGAGTTCAAAATTCACTCGATGTCACGTTACGGTAAGAATCTTAAAGTTTGTCCAGTGCATTTTTTCGTCGGGCGCATGTGCACAAATTAAACGATAACATCCAAATTGTGCAGATTGCATTCCGCTATCATCTTTCTCGGTGCAGGGGAATGACCTGAGACTTCCTGATATATGTCATTTCAGCATATCCTGATATATAACTTCATTCTTTTAAGCAGCTGGAAGGACTTTCACGATGATTTTCTGTGATAGGGAAATATTTTCCAAATTCGATGTGCACAATGACGTTCGTTCACCAACACGAGCAAGAACCGAACATACTAAGGAAATAATCTGAAGTTAAGTTTCCATTCAGGAATAAAAGTATCTGCGAGATTTCTCGACAAAGGGAGTTTAAAGCATAAACATATTAACGAGTGGAATTCTGTTCGTAGGAGAGACGAGACCATGATTTGTGCGGCTGTCCTTAACAAGCAGAGAGGGCTGTGAGAAAAACTCGGCCTGGCCCCTGGGGCACCGGTCAGAGCCATGACTCACTGGGTCCTACCACGTGTCATGCACAAACAAGGGGAAGAACGGGTCGTTTCGCGGCATGAGTCTGCTTTATCCGAGGGGCGAGGAATCGAGATTCCCTTCGAGCTACCGACTGCAGAGATGGAGCTGCTGTCGGCAACTGAGCGGCCCGTGGATCATCGTGAGGACCAGGAAGCCACCGGACGGACCAGAGGACGCGACTCAGCGTCAGCCTCAGGGATAGTCGCCACGAGGCCCGCTCGAGGATTGTTTGAATCGCCCCCTAGTGACTAACTGCCGACGCCATGCCCAAGCAAGGAAGGACGTCGAGGGGCCGAACATTCTCGTCTCGCTCGAACTGCGAAATTCCTTTCTTCTCGCTCTGTGAAATTCCTTTCTTCTCATGGATGCGTCCGCATCAGCCGTGTCTACCCCGTCCCTTCCGTCGCTTTTCTTCTGCTTTGATTCTATTGGAAGATCCTCCTCTCACGGGCGATACAAGCAGCTGAGAACGTCATCGTGTCATTCTTTTCGAGCATTTCGCTTTCTTGTTCGCTGTGGTGGAGTGGACCGGTTTACTTTTTAGAAGTTGGACAAGTTGAAGGTTTCGGCATGAGTGCGATCGAAAAGGAAGTCTACAGAAGATCAATCTTCCAGGGATTCATGACTCCAACGAGCTTCATGAGGGCCACGGTTTGTCGACTGTGATTCATGAACTTTGCACTGGAGTGGTCGACACAATTGGCCAGTCATCTTCGTCACAAACCATTGCAATGCAGCATGTGAAGATGCCATATTCTCAGTTTAATATGAGCATTATAAAAGTGGAGTGGCCAATTATCCCTCACTTAGGGCTAATTAGTAATCATTCTATTCCAAACTATTCTCTCATGGGTAGATGCGGGTTTATAAGTTCGTTGGATGAGCAACAATCAGGGTAGGTATTCGATCGCGTATACTAACGTGAGGGATAATTAGCCCTCACGTTAGTTAGCCGTTAAGTGAGTGATAACTAGCATTCCCCTATAATGATTACTATTTTTCACACCAGGATTAATACAACGCTCTACAGGAATCGATTTGATTTAAAACCAGATGTATGATATGTGGATTTATATTGTTCATTTGGTATGATTCTTGGAACCGACTTCAAACTAGTTAAATTCGAGCATTATAAATACCTACAACAATAATCTTATGTTGTACATCGAAGAGTTGTGTATTTGGTTGCTTGACAATCTAAGTCAAGGTAGAAGTGGTGTGAAGGATTATGAGCAATCTGGTTTATAGCAGACAGTAGATTCCATTGAGTACTTGATTGATTACCAATTTCTCAATCTTTATTTAAGGTACTGCATATAAATCACAAATCATCTTTAATTGGATATTTAGAACAGATTCATTTCCATTTCTTTGTGTTTAACGAAGTGATAATAAATTTATAATGAAAATCATTCCATTGTACATATAAAAGTAATGTTGCTAGTAAAAAATATTTTTCATGTCTAGTATGTTTTGGATTCATTAATTCATTAAATAACTATTCAACTTTGAAAAAATTCCTACACATAAAAGCTTCATCATTTGAACTGTGCATATAACGATCCGTTACATAACTATCACGTTATCCATATCAAAATGATTGACATTCTAATCGAATTTTAACACCAAATGTCTATGTACACATTGTAATCATTTCACACAATTAATTAAACGTTTTGACAAGAATACTGTTATTGTCCATTGATATGATCTTGATGCTTTGAGTGAAAGATGGTGATGAATTATCTTTCAGTAATTGGAGCATCTAAGTGATCATAAAGTTTCAACAGATAAACTTTTGAATTTTGATGCAAATTAGCATTTTATCATAAGATTTTTTGCTCTATTGAATCTTGTAAAATCCAATCACATAATCAAATCCTAATTAATATCTCTATTATAAAATATGTGATATTTTATGTTTACATTAAGATTCATAATGTGTATACATTAAACATTAATATAAATTTGATCCATTTTTTTTGTGAGGGTATCATTTTTGTATAAATATGTATTATTATAAATTATTTAAATTATTCATAAAAGACTTGTAAAAAAATTATTTTATTAAAGAAATAATACTGATTTAAATTCACAGACTCAGATGTAAAAAGTTAAATGCATTTTGAATGATCCAATGTTCATTATAGATTTTCTCTCAATTGGTTTGATTTTAAGTATATGATATATATAGTTGTATTTTGTCACATGATTACTTGTTACATGTTGTGAATTTTACATTTTTTATTATTAATTTTCTTTTCTGAAATAAGAATATTTTTTTTCCCAAATTTATAAATATCTTCTATTATTTAAATGAAATCATAGTTTCATTAGATTTAGTGAGAAAATTTGAAATATCAAAGCAACGATGAATACATAAAAATATTTTAATATGAATTTTGTTTTGGGGTTCAAATTTAAAGCCAAATATTGTACCTATGATAGTTTGACTTTGCCGATGCTATCATTTTACATTAGAATATTTTTTAATATAAGTCCGGATTGGAATCAATCCGGATTTAGTTGGTAGTTGACAATCTCTTGGTAATCACACATTTATATTTATCTATAGAAAGACTAGTAAATCATGTCAAGTTATGGACTTTAATTTTCAAAACTATGTTTTTACAACTGAATCTCGTTTCTCTCTTTGATCATCATTTGAAAGGGTTTTGAAATTTGTGTACGACAGTAGATATTTTAAGTATCTTTGTCTGCATGCCTCATTATAAAAATATTTGATCTAATATTTAGGCCATCTTAAATGAGTTTGTTCACTTTATGGCCAAAGTACATTGTGAGCCATGTACCCAAATGTGTTTCACATGCATGAGCCCCATATTTCTTACCCTAACTGTGTACCTTAGTTCCTTGTAGACGTCAGAACTCAGAAATAATGAGGTTATAGTTCACAAGAGCCTAGGTTGTATCCCATCTAGCACAAATACTTTCTAATGTGCATACAAATGCAGTAAACAGAGCTTCATTTAAACTAGAAATGCCAGTATCCAGCTATGGTGAATCAAAGTGGATTATTAGAGGTGCACAGACGTCATCGAGTGGGAGGAGGTGGATTGCAGTTGTGTCCATTCCTTTTGCCTACTAATCTCCAATCCCTATCTCTCATCAGAAATTAACGCGAAATACATCGACTATCCTCGTGCATGAGGGGATCTGGCTTAAATCGGCAGGACAAACCAGGCAGGTCATGGAGATGGCGATGGCACACAAGTCCAGCTGAATTTGAGGGTGGGGCTCATGCGCAGCTGCTAGGAGCCATGCCCGAGTCAACATCAAGCCCTTCTTCCCGTCCCCTTCATGAGCAGATTCATACATTTGTCCATGAGTTTCGGAAGCCTCGTCATGCGCACGCCCAATGGCCCCAGTGGGCCTGCGCATGTCAAGTCCTCTGAACAAGCTCATCGTCGCCTGCTCAGCCCTGACTGTTGCCCTGGATCCATGGCCAGGGCAACTTGTCACCTTCAGTTTGTGAGTGCTCAGTGGTACAAATCACAATCTTACAGCTCGAGGTAGATCATTGGACAAGACGCCCAGGTTCTCGATCCGACTGATCGATCGTTTTGGTATGTCAGGATACTGAATATTGGAGCTTGGCGTAGATTATCGAGAAGTCTTAAGGGTGCCCCGATGACGATCGTGAGACCTACTAAATCGATGGCGGTTGCTTCATCTTTGGTGCGACCGAAGAGCAGAGACTGATCGACTCAGAGACCTTGTGCGTGATTCTGCTCGAAGTAGTGATTCCTTTTTTTTCGTTGCTGATCTACTAGATGGATCTTATCAATCCATCAGCCTCGGATGTTGGGTCTTAGAGAAGATGGTTAAAAAGAGTTGTCGGAGAGAGTTGCAAGGACTTTTGGCTACTTCTCAGAAGAAGTTAGTCCCCTGAAGTATCTTCATCCTTTCCAGCACCTAGGAGGCATAAGCAGAAATGAGCGAAGACCGTTTTTGGATCACGCGTCATGCTGTTGCTTCATTCTGTATTGGTTTGTTATGCATCGAAGAATTTCTCGAAGGTTTCACGCGACAACCTCATTCACAACCTCATTCGTCACCGAAATCTCATCATACTTCAATACATATAGACACTTCAGGATCATTTATATCAACAAAGAAAATCTCGCTGATTATGATATTAAGTTTTAGAGGGAGACATCATCACAATGATTTGGTAGCACATGTCTGCTCCTCATTACTAATTTTCTCTTCACAAATTCCTGTATATTCTGTCGTACATCCCTTCTCCTGACTTTTGACTTTGGCCTTCATCCATGGAAGATGGGGTAAAGTCAGAGCTTCTTGTTCATGGGAAATCTAGAGAAGATTTCTCCAAATCACTCCGCATCTTCGTATACTGTGTCCATCATCCGGAAGATTCAGGAAAATCTGTCGAAGCTCAACTCACAGTGAGAACGGATGAAACCAGAGCATGATGCTATCTCCAGAGGAATCTGCAATATTGGTGACATTGCGTACGCTTCTGGAGTCCAATCCGAATTCACGTGTTGTGGAGGACAGAATCACTTACCCTGGTTCTTGACTGCCGACAAGAGACTTAGTTCCTGGCCTCGTGTGCAAAGTTTGAAAAAATTGAAATTCGAGGCTGCTGCATCTTCTTCTTCTTCGAATCAAGTAGCCATTGTCTACCTCGTTGGGTCCGATCAGATATTCTCTATGATATAGTGGCATCAAGGGCGAACGAAGACTCCACTTTTATCACAACAAGCGCATCAGATTCACTTAGGCATTGCTGATTTTCCTTTATCCGTTGGAACTGTTGCCTGCTTCCTTGTTATTCCACTCTTTCTAGAGGCACAATAGATGTCATTCAATAATAGCATATTCTCTAACGTGGAGACTGAAAATAGTTAAGTAACCAGCACACTTAACGGCGTTTGCGTTATGTGAAAGGATACTGGAAGTGCTGGTCATCAATCTTTAATTTACCATATATTTCACTAGTATCAAAGAGAAGAAGAAAATGCATGCTTTGGAATATTTTTGTGGATTGTGTTGATTGCAGAGTATGTTATGTTCGTTGAGCGAAAGCTAATAACATCAGATAAACACTAAAATCTTCAAACAGCATGGGAATCATTTAATTATCGGCTTGATATTGCATAATTAGGAGCTTTTTAATTTAATTTAATATACTGTATCGAATTTCAAATCACTACAATCGCACACTGAAAAGAACATATCTGCTCATATGAACCAGTGGGATTGAGCTGGTGAAAAAATTAACGCTGTAACACAATTACCCACATCATCTTTAATATTAGAGATTATGCCACCGAGCCGTGAAATTGGAAACTTCAAGATCAACTCCAACACTCGGACTACGCTACGAATGTTTGATGTTCATTGTAATACTTCAAGTTGTGATGTGCTATTTCGATAAGTGCATGTGACAGTGATCAGAAATGCTGATGTTCCATTTTCCTGAATGGACTTATCATGACGATTATGTAGAGTTTCAAATTTTAGCATCCAGTTTGGCACGAATATGTATTGATATCTATAGTTATTAGTAGTTCAGACTTGAGACTCGTTCAATTAAATATATGATCAAAGTAACGAGGCTGCATATAGCATTGAAGAACTTATTACAAGTTCGAGTAGAAGCACAACTGATTATTGAAGTAGATATTTGCAGCTGACATGCCCGAAGTGCCTTGGATGGCATGGTCTTCAGATATGTGTACATATTGAGAACATAATTGGTATAATGTAGTTTTGACAGTTGAAAGTGAATGCCAGTTGTAAGGTGACAAGTCAATGTTCTGCAAACAATACTCGAGACTGGAGAATTGTTTGGAAAACCGGTTTGATGAACACAGAATCAGAAAACATGCAAATCACTGCATGTTCTAGTCGGAGTAATCAAGAGGATGTAAGGAATTCAACTCATGGATTGAGGAGAAAATAATATTTCTGTATCCATCTAAGGTTTTAGCCAATTCTCTCGTGAATGCTAGACTATGTCACACACTTGAGAACTCAGCAGTTATGGTATGAGGAGGATTACATTCTTCTTTTGAGATTGTGGGACGTCAAGGTCAAGATTACACGTAGTCAGACTTCTTTTGATGACTTGCATATTCACCAGCTGTAATCATATCAAGTGTCAATTTTCTCAGTGTACATGCTAATTCTTCTCGTTCTGGTGGATTATTCTTAAAAAGTTTTTGAAAATTTGTGAATCTTTACAGCACATTGAAAATCTTAGTACTACCTTCAGAATGAAAAAAACAATGGTTTTATCTACCATATTTTTTTTACCACAGTGCATTTTATAAACGCATGAAATGTATTCATGAGGAACTTTCCGTAGGCAGGACATGCTCATGCTAGGTGAAAGACACTGACCAATACATCATCTATTTAGTCCTACCGAGATGAGATAAAAATACATATACACCTACTTTTACCGCATCTCATCCTCACCATTTCATAACGTTTTGCGAAGAAATCATTATGTAAAATCATACTCGAAATGATTACTCCCATCTCTTCATAGTATCAGAATAGTTCCATATATTCCGTAGTTCTTCAAATCAAAATTTTGAGGATCACCTTTTCCTACCTATGATAGCAGTGGGAGGAAATATATCGTATATGCGATTCACAAAGAATATTATGGATGAGTATTACTAGACATCATAGATATGTGGTAATATGCACTCAATGTATGGGTTCGGTTTTTCAAGTGTAAGAATTTTCAATAATCTCACAACCCAGACAGTGAACTTATTGACTGGTCCATTGCAACGAGGAACGCTAGACTAAGTGATTTATCTCTAAGAACGACAGAGCATCATATGTATCGCTCTTTTTCTTTAGGATGCTTGAATTTGTTAAGAAGATCGTCTATGGGAAATCTAGGCCGCATATTTGTCTTCTTCTCATGCTGATCAAAGCTCAGGTAGTTTTGTACAATTATGGATGTTCGTTGACGACACGCATGAGAACTGCATGAATTCCCCGTTCTTCTCCAGGTCATTTTTTGTTTACTTTCCAGTTCATGACTCTTTGGGAGTTCTGAGACCTTTAAACTGCAACTATTTATTCTCTTAACTTTCGGACAGAGCCAAAAGGATGAGAAGCTCACCAAGTCCTAAAATGAACTCCGAACTCACGGCTTGTGGGCAGCGTAGAAAGGATTTGTCACAAGGATTTGCCGTGGACATGTCTCTGGGAGTATCGTGGATCCCTAGTTATACCGATTCGGAAGCATGAACTTTAGCAATATTAGAAGAAATCGGAAGATCTGCTACTGCGAAGGGAGAGTTCGCACTCACGTGTAAAACTATCGATCATTTGTTGGCTGCTCCATTTTGTTCGCCAGTGAGCAATATGACTCCAGATTTCAAGCCGATCAAGTGTTTATATGATATGCAGATCATAAAATGCGTAGAGTAAGAATAAGTAGCTCGAAGATATAGCTGCAGCTGATTTATTTCCTCGCTATGTATTTAAACAATGCCCTTTCCTCTTGAAGTCTTTTCCGTGAAAACAACCCAATTTACACGTCCATCTTTCTATCTTTCAATTATTTTGGTGGCCAACAGAAATCCAAGCTACTCTTTGTTATCGTTGCAATCTGGACACTCAGGTGCGTTGACAATTACAGTCATGTCCATGTCCTCGTACAAGCGCAGTCTAGCAAAGTTTATGGATGCCCATACTGCTTCTAACTCTTACACAAACACATTGCTGAATGGCGACCAGAAAACTGCCAGATCAGACAGTGCGGTTTGATCGACTGCGAAAGATCTCGCCAGCAGAGCCGGATCCACAGCTGGCTGGGCTCCAAACAGAGTGAGAGGGAGAAATGAGATTCCCAGATTGTGAGAGTTGAGGAAGTTGATTGTCGAAGCATTGATCGTTCCTTTGTTCATCTGGAAATGCACCAGGCCTCTGGGGATAACGAACGCCTCTCCGGCCTTCACCATCCCAGCGAACAGCTTGTTCGGAGCGCTGACGTCGTCACTGTTGGCCACGAATCCGATGTACAGCTCTCCCGCTGTGACGAACACAAGCTCAGTGGCCAGGTTGTGAGTGTGTGGCGCAATGACACCACCTGGAATCAAATCAAGGCGCACCAATGAAACTCCGAGCGTGTTCAAAGCGGGCCAATGACGGGCGAAGGCGAGAGTTGCCGCTGCGCCCCAGGGACTTTCATCTGATATGATGCTGGCATCTTTCAAGCCCTTGAAGATGAAGTCTTCTACCACGGCTGTTGTGGGATCCTTGCACGGGTAGCCATTGAAAAACGACTTCTGACTAAGATCTGCGATACAGAAATCCTGGAGGGGGTCTGGATCAGCTGCTTGGACAGGACTTGCCACCAGTATGAATATCGTCAATAAAACCAAATGGCAACACGCAGGTCCCATGATACGCACAAGCCCCATCGCTGAGTCCGATGATTTCGAAGATTTGAACTAGAGGACAGTCGCAAACTCCAAGCTTATCAAAGATACAGCACACAATTCAAGTTGGAGGCAAGATTGGGATTGAAAAACACATAAACTGGACTTCAATATGATACTGAGGGGTTTTTTTTAAAAGATGGATCAGACTTTTGAATGATGACGGCAGTCCTATAGGTAAACTGGAGCTGTGAGTATGAGCTGCAGGACTTCAGAATTTATTGTGGTAACACACTTTTTGTTTTTTTGCAGAATTTAAACAATTTTAGAAAACTAGTACCGAAGCAGTGTTTGTAGTTAGAAAAGGGTACGTTAAATAGAGTGGATTGATAAGATCGTCACGAGGACACAAAGAATCACGTAGTCGGATGTACCAACGCCAATGTCTTCGGCGCCTTCGGCAAAAGCTCCTTTTCTGAGGTGTCTCTACTCACGCGCCTCCAGCGTATAAGGAAGCTACGCTTCCGGCGCAGACACCTCAGGAGTAGGTTTTGCTAAAGACGTCAGGAGAAGGGTCCGGACCTCTAAAGGCGTCCGACCATGAGTGCGCCTTCGGCGAAGCGCAGCTAGCGCGGAAAGGGAAAACCTTCATAACGATCGGGATACACGGTAGATCCAGTTG